CGTTCCTTGGTGTTTCAGCCCTTACCCGCTTTACCCTACTTACCTTGTTGGGCTTACCTCCGACCCGCCTATTTATTCCTCTGTTCTGCCTTTGCCTCTTGAGAGAGCCGCATATATGTAACCCTAGTTCTAAAGCCTTCTCTTTAGAGAGAGAGGGTATGGCTTCTCTCTAGCCAGTCTCCTTCTTCCGCACCTCTCTTCGTCTCCTTCGTGTGTGTGTGTGTGTGTGCGCTCTGTGGGTTATAGGGAGAGGTTTGAGAGAGTAGTTGGGTTCAGGTTCGGGTTCGGGTGCCTTTGGTGGTAGTTCCCGGTCCGGTAGGTCCTTTTGTGGTGGTTGTGAGTTGTTCCAGAACCTTTGGGTTTGTGTGGCTGGAGACCTGAATTGGAAGATCTAAAAGCCTTACAATTTTACTAATTCAATACATATACGTAGCACATGTATGCAAATTGTCAACAGAAATACCAACAAATAAGATGACGGGTAAAGCAAGCATGTGGAAGTCATTATTAGTACTACTAGCATGGCTTGTGATCTGTACCATCCAAGCGGCTCTGCCTCCGCCCATGGCGGCGGCTCAGCCGCTGCACACGAGTTCATGGTGGATCATTAACGAGTCGGGGCGGAGAGTGAAACTGGCGTGCGTGAATTGGGTGACTCATCTGGACGCGGTGGCGGTGGAGGGGCTGAGTCACTATTAAGAACGTCCTTTTTAAATTAAACTTTCCTTTTTTATATTTATATAGACACTATATTAACTATTTAACAAAAAAAATCATTACAAAAATAGTATTTTTGTATATTTTTATAAATTTCCAACATTTTTAACTATTTAAACTTTCTTGTACGTTTGTTTCCATCTTTTTTATTTTTAAGTTTTCAATAACATAAATATTACTCTTTAAAATGTAATGGACAAAAATGTTACTTAGTAACTATTAGTGACGATAATTGTGTTCAAAATTTATATCGTAGTAACTAAATGTAAGTTAATTACTGTGATATGATTCAAACTTTGTATACAATTATATTTACTATGTCACCTTTTTATTCATAACATTTTTCTCATTAATATTTAAGAAAATAACTTTTTTATATTTTTCTGATTTGTTCTTTACAATTTAACTTCATTTTCTTTAACTTTTAAATTTAATTTACAAGTATAAAAAATTTCTTGGTTTATTTTTTTTTTACTTTTGAGTTTGAATTTTTGATTATTTTTAGATTCAACTTCATTTTTTAGAATTTATTATTTTTAGGCATTATCATTAGGGGTGGGATAACAGTTTGATTTAACCGAACCGTACAAAACCAAACTAAGTCGAACCGAAACCGGACCGTATGCAATTTGGTTTGAGTTTGGTATTATTTCTTCCAAACCGTATTAAACCAAACCGAACCAAAACCGATAAAAACCGAACAAAACTTAACCGAACTAAAGAAATTCAAAAAAAACGTTCATATATTATTAAAAATTAGCAAATCTAAGTCAAACTGAACTAAACTTAACCGAACCAAACTGAAAATAGTATGGTTTTTGTTTAATTTGGTAATAATTCTTCCAACTCATTCCAAATCGAACCAAACCAAAACCGATAAAAACCGAACCGAAAACCGATATGCCCATCCCTAATTATCATCTATTTGAACATTTCCAATTTTCTATTTAAAAATAAAAAATTAGGGCCTGCTTACTAACAGAGATATTTTCCTGTTTTCTACTTCTGTTTTTCGTTCTCTAATTTTCTGTTTTTATTTTTCAGTTTTTCTATCTCCAATTTTCTGTTTCTATTTTTTTGTTTTCCATTTTCAAATCTAAAAACATGTTCATCAATTTTTTTTTTACCCAGATCTCCAATTCCACACCCTTGACCCCTACCCTTACCACGATCTTGCACTCTACCCATACTCCCCCACAACCCTTCATACCCATCCATACCTACTCGTAGCGGTCGGGGTAGGGAAGTTATGGGTGGGGGTGGGGTAAGGGGTATGGTCGGGGTGGGGTGGTAAGGTCTAGGGGTAGGGGGTTGGGTGGGGGGTAGTGGGTGGGTTAGGGTCGTGGTTACGGGTAAGGGTGGGGTAGTGGGTAGGGTTTGGGGTAAGGTAGAGGTAGGGTATGGAGTTGGGATAGGATGGCAGTAGGGTGGGGCCGGGACCGGGGTGGGGCTGAGGTAGGGAAGGGGTGGGGGTAGGATGGCGGTAAGGGTGGGGGTAGTGGGTAGGGTTGGGGTAAGGTAGGGGTAGTGGGATAGGATGGCGGTAGGGTGGGCCCGGGAACTGGGTGGGGCCGAGGTAGGGGAAGGGTAGGGTGGGGGTAGGATGGTGGTAGGATGGCGGAAGTATGAGTGGACTCGAGCCGGTTCGGGCCCGGGTCGGGCCTCCGGTTCAGGAATGGGGGGCCCGGAACAGTGTCGGGCTGGTTCCGGGTCGGGCCACCCGGCCCGAGTCCACCTCTAGGCGGAAGGGTGCTGGTAGGATGGCGGTACGAGGGTGGGGGTAGGATGGCGGTGGGGTGGGGGCGAGGTAGGCGCATGTGGTAAGGGGTAATATACGGGTGGGGGTAGGGTAGGGTGGGTCGGGGTGGGGTCGAGGTGGTAGGGGGGTGGCGGTAGGTTGGATCGGGGTGGGGCCGAGGTAGGGGCATGTGGTAGGGGGTGGGGTAGGGTCATTATAGGGAAAAATGGGTATGCGGGGTGGGATTGGGTGGGTAAGGTAGGGTAGGGGTAGGGGTAAGGTACGAGAATGGAGGTACCAGAATGGAATCGACATCGGAGCGTGACTGGACCCACCACTAGGTGTACGTATGCAAATTCATTGCAACGGCACTGTAGCATCTGCGTTTTCCAAATTTGGAAAACTAGTAAAAGTCACTTATCCAAATCATTAAGGAAAAGAGAGGCATGTCTCATTTTTTCCGTTTTGGAAAACGATTTGGTGAACGCGTTTTTCTTTTTTCCTTTCTCCAGTTTTCCAGGAATTTCTTTGGTAAACACGTTTCCTGTTTTCTGTTTTCCAGTTTTCCAGTTTTCTGTTTTCAGTAGTAAATTAGTGTTTCCTACTCTACTATCTACGTACGTACGTATAAGTTTATAAAAAAAGCAAGTAATGGCTGGAATGCTTGAAATCTCATGTACAACTGTCGGGAGAAGACAAATCCATAAGTCTGCTAGATACGGTCTATTGTTGAAAGAAAAACTTGGCTATATTTGAAAAAAAAAATCTATAAGATGAAAAACTTGATACAGAGTATTATTTTCACATGCATAGTCTTTTTGTGATCAATTGCAAGCACTGGACCTCATATACGGAGTATAGTAGCTTTCATTATATGAGTTTTGCTAGGTGTACACATTTTGTGTACACAAAATATGTACACCAACCATTTTTATCATTACATAGACACATTGCTTAGATCACAGTTTTCAAGAGTGCCTCTCATCCTGCCTTTAAAGGAACTTATGTATTAGTGTCACTATATTCATGAATATGAACTATTTTATTCTCAAAATAAAATTTGTTTATTCTTGCTAAAACAATGAAAGCAAATGATATATCCTATCCAAAAAAATATGTTATTTATTGGTTCTATTTATAACTGTTGGGAGTATTGGTGTAGACATTACAAAGTATTCAGATAGGTTTATATAAATTTAATTTTTTATACAAAAATGCTTACACACAAAGATAGAAATTTTAGTGAACGTGGGTCCGTGATGGCCTTCTAGGCAGGGGTGGACTCGGGCCGGTTCGGGCCCGGTTCGGGCCTGGGCCCGGCCGGGCCTCGGGCCAGAAAACTAGGGCCCGAGCCCGAACCGCCGGTGGCCGGTTCCGGTTCCGGGCCAAACCGGGCCGGGCTGGGCCGGGCCGGGCCGAACCGGTCCATATTTTTTTTTTGATTTTGGTTCTCCTATTTAACCCCCTACCCCTCCCCCTCAACCCCAAACCACCTCAAATGGCCCAAAATACCTAATCCAACCCAAAACTTAAAAAAATTTTAAAAAAAAATTAAAAAAAAAATAAAATCCGGCCCGGGCCGGTTCACCAAAAGCAGGGCCCGAGCCCGGACCGCCCATCACCCGGGCCGGGCCAAACCGAACCGCTGGACCCACCTGGCCGGGCCGGGCCAAACAGTAACCGGGACGGGCCGGTTCCGGGTCGGGCCGCCCGGCCCGAGTCCACCACTACTTCTAGGCAGGCCGTGGTGACAATTAAGATGTTTTTAATTGGATTATTTCAATCTCAAATCATCAAACCACATCAGACTACATTAAACCGGAATCCTACAATTACATTGTAAAATACATATTAGCACGGAGAATAATAAAGTAAAAACTGTGTGGTAGAGGTTTGTGCAGAGGAGAGAGAAATAACAAGGATCACAAAATAATTGATTAAAATGGAAAGTGTCAAAATTTTTTGGGACGTCCCAAAAAGGAAAGATGACAAAGTTTTAAGTGACGGAGGGAGTAGAAAATAGACTTTACAGACCAGATCATTTCAAATCAATAAGACAATACAGACTAAAATAGATTGACCAGCCCAAACGGACTAGAAAATTACATCCCAAAATAGATTTTTATTAATAAAAAATGAACTAAAAATAGTTTTTATTTATTTATTTTAGATGGATAATATAATCATTTCATTTCACTAATTCAATGGAAAATTGGAAATCATAACCAACCGAAAGCAGAAAAAGAAGGTATCCAAAATATCCACCCCTATATATATACGTAGCATATGTATGCGAATTGTCAACAGAAATACCAACAAATTAAATTGACCGGTAAAGTAAGCATGGGAAAGTCATTATTAGTACTACTAACATGGCTTATGATCCTCTGTATCATCCTAGCGGCTCTGCCTCCGCCCAAGGCGGCTGCTCAGCCGCTGCACACGAGTTCACGGTGGATCGTGAACGAGTCGGGGCGGAGAGTGAAACTGGCGTGCGTGAATTGGGTGACTCATCTGGACGCGGTGGTGGCGGAGGGGCTGAGCCAGCGGCCGGTGGACGAGATCTCAAAGGCAATAGTGGATATGGGATTCAATTGCGTGCGGTTGACTTGGCCGCTCTTCTTGTTCACCAATAACTCCTTGGCCTCCCTCACTGTCAGGCAGTCCTTCCAGAATCTGGGGCTGGTTGATGCCATTTCTGGGATTCAAGCTAATAACCCCGCCATTGTTGATCTCTCCCTCATCAAAGCTTACCAGGTTTGTTCTTTCTTTGGAATAATCTGTTCCAAAAATATTGCATCTTCTATCCTCTGTTTCCTGGGCATAGCCCGCACAAGTCAAACTGGTACTCGGTATGATGTAAAGATTTTTTTCCACATAAATTTTACACAACTATTTACCTATTCCTCCCGGGGCTAGCTGTCTTAGTTGTACACATTTTGGTGTATACCTTTTGTACACTCGTAGAGTTGTTTGTAGATAGACAACTCTGTGTGCGTGAGCCACACGAGTGTACAAAGTCTATACCAAAATTTGTACACCAAACATTTTTCTTCCTCCCGTCCCAAGTTTGTAATCTTTTTGTAGTAGTCCAATTTGTTTTGTCATTTTTCCATTGAGGTAAGGGTCAGATTGGTACTTGAAGTTCCATAAAAAGTGTGAAATAAGTCCTTATGTAGGAGACTCTGTCCGGCTGTCGCCATTTGGGGCGGTTCCCGGTGGAATTTTTTGACGAATTTTTTTGAGCATCTTATTCATTAAGTCTAGTTTACTCATACCAAATTTCAGCTAAAAATTCAACCGAGAAGGTATTCAAATGAATTCTTAAAGATAAATGTGCAGTTAAAAGCGCAAATATATTCAAGAATTCATTTGAATGCCTTACCGATTGAAGTTTTAGCTGAAATTTGGTATGAGTAAACTAGATTTAATGAATAAAATGCTAAAAAATTCGTCAAAAAATTCCACCGGGAACCGCTCCAATTGGCGACGGTCGAATAGAAAGTACTTATTTGACCCTTTTTATGCAACTTCAAGTATCAATCTGACCCTTACCTCTTTTCACATTGTATCAATCAATTTGATGTTTTTATCATTTCTCTCTACTCTATACAAAACTTAATCGCACTATTTTTATTTTATTATTTCCGGTACCGATCAAATTATAACTATGCATAAATGTTTCAGTTGACAATATTATCTATATTTCCGAGTAAAAAATCATACGCGACGACTAAAATTCTATACATAATATCACTGTAGGGTGGACTCTACACACGGAATTTTGATATCTTGTAGGTTTTTTTTTGTTGCAAATTTGAATAATATTGTCAATTAAAACATTTATTTATATATAGTTGTGTTACTGATTCATTTAAGAGTGATATCAAACACCTAACAATAATAATAATTAAGGTACAATTTGTACATTTCACCCAAAAAATCTCGTAATAGGAGTAACTTTTTTCAAATTTGGAGTGAGTTGGGCCCGGCTAGGTCATCCCGTAGCTCCGGCGTGGTCTGTTTCCAAGAGCATTAGTGCATGTCTATAGTGAGATCGGAGACTAAAGGTGATCGAGTTGCTGGAGTAGGTGAACTCGTCACTGAGATTTCATTAGTTTTGATATTCAAAAGCCTAGATTAGAGCATAATTGGATGATAAATGTGCAAAAATGAATTGCACTCGTATGCTTGATTGATCAACATGGAACTTCAATTAACTAAATATCATCTATAAATCACAATATTTATTAATGAAGCTCTATTAATGACCAATTCCATAAGTAGTTGTGTTTTATTAGGAGTTCTTTGTTTTATATGTATAAATTTTTACAACAGAGATGTTACATCAAGATTCAAATTTTATACAATAAAAAAGGTTCAAATTTTAACGAGTCTACGGTCAGTCCTAACACTTGGAGTATGTGTAATGTGTTGATGATATTATGACAATCTTGAAATGAAATTAAAGATGTAAAAACGTTACAGTGGATCTCATATTCGTAGAACGTCTTCTCTAAAAAAAATACACTATTTGAAGAAAAAAAATTGAAATGGAAACAATATATTCTTAGTGGAAGTTTTTCTTCGTCAGAATGGTCTTTATTTTACAGTTGCTCTTTAATTTTACAATATTAAAAATGACCCATAATATGCATTAAATAAGCACCACGGTCTTATTCGATAATATTGTTTTCGTTTCTGTCCCTTTCAGTGTACTTCATTACTACCGAATATATCTACAAATTGGAATTATTTTATGCATAACTTATTATTCTTAAAGAATTTTTTCTAGATAAGGTATAATATTCATTTTACATTCAGGAAATCACGTATATGTTCATGGCTTTTTATAATAATGTATCTGTCGTCATTGTTTCAAGATATAATCCTTCAAACAGCCACAAATTAAAAAAAACATCTTTTAAAAATGGATTTCATGTTATATTTTGCGTGTTGCATACTTTAATATTAAATACGATAGTATATCTTTCACTTCACTATTAATTTACTCTTCTCAATTGGATACGTCTCGCGAAAGAATATTACGGAGTAAATTGAATCAAACTTGTCTTAAAATATAACCAAAAAAAAAGCATTTACGTTTGACTATTAATTAGATGTGAACCAACTTGTAGCATTTGTCATGAGACATTTAACTAACCACAAAAACTTACTGAGATTTGACTCATGCTCAATATATTAGTCTCATTTAAAGAATTATTTCAACTTTTGATTCTACAACTATCAGATTTACAGTAATTAATTAAGTTTCAGTACTCAATTTTCATTTTACTACTTATTATAAGTCTTATAACTCAGACCTTATTTGAGATTTGTCTCTTTTGATCCTGAAATGGATAAAGATCATTGAAGAATAATGGAACAAACATCTAGCCTCATTATACATCTGTGTACACTACCCTAAAACGTCAACTATATTATACGGAGTACGCGTTAATCAATTGCTAGAAGACATTTTGTAATAACTGATAAAGTATATATCCATTGTGATGGTGACCTCAACAACAAATTCGAGGGCCACCAATAATAAAGCAACAAATCATTTCACGTCATTATTTTATTATGAGCCCGTTGGTAACATTAAAATTGGTTCAATCGATCCATTGTGTTGAAATTTATGAAGTTCAGATTGACATGGTTGTATTGGCTAATTCTACTAATTTATAAAATAATTATATTTAAGATATTTTTTATTAATAAATACTCCGTAAAATTAAAAATTATATGAAAAATAGCTAAAATGATCAACTACAATAACTTCAGAAACTTTTTCTTTTTACCAATAATAAAGCAACAAATCATTTCACGTCATTATTGTAGTCAGCATTTTATCATGAGCCCGTTGGTAACACTAAAATTGGCTCAATCGGCCGATTTTGTTGAAATTTATGAAGTTCTGGTTGACATGATTATATTGGCTAATTCTTCTAATTTATAAAATAATTATATTTAAAATATTTTTTATTAATGAATAAAATTAAAAATTATATGAAAAATAGTTAAAATGATCATCTACAATAACTTCAGTCAATACTTTTTCTTATTATTACAAAATTCAACGCGGGAAATCAAAAGTTACGTGTTTGGTGAAAATAATGGCTGATAAGCTTGATAAGCCGAAAAAAGTAGCCACCAAAAGGGCTCTATATGTCTATCTAATACTACGTATCTATGTAATAGAACGCTTTTACTTGGGCTGAGTTTTTCTGATATGGTCTTATCTGGATTAAATTAGTTTGGTATGGTCTGGTAAATATATGGTCTTTGTGTATGTTATAACTGACACGTCTGGTCTGATCTGATTTGGTCTAGTCTGATCTGGTATGGTCTAGAATGGTAAATATGTATTCGGGGTAATTTTTTTCACAATTCATCACATTCAATAAATTTCAACCATTACCATATTTTTACCAATTTGAACATTACCAAACAAAATAATTTTATTGGGCACTAAAATATTAAAATTGACCCCAACTCCCAAGTCACAACAAACTCATTAAACCCTTACATTTAAAGGTTGCAGGAGTAAATGCAAAGGAATAATAATGTGGGCGGTTTTTGCAGGCAGTGGTGCAGAGCCTAGGAAAGAACAACGTGATGACAATATTAGACAATCACATTAGCAAGCCTGGTTGGTGTTGCAGCAACTTCGACGGCAATACTTTCTTCGGCGACACTTACTTTGACCCTAAGCTATGGCTCACCGGCCTTGCCAACGTGGCCGCCATGTTCAATGCCACCTCCTCTGTTGTTGGAATGAGCTTACGCAATGAACTTCGAGGGCCCAAACAGAATGTCAATGATTGGTACAAGTAAGATTTAAGCCCAGTCCAAGATTTAAATTAATTAAAATTGTGAATGAATTTGGAGTCTCCCTCAGTCCCTTTTTAGTTAGTACATTTATCTAGGGAAGTATTTATAATATGAAAATGTATAAATGTTTCTTGTTAAAAGTAATATCCTCGTATAACAAAAGTATAAAATTTATAATTTTCACAAATATATAGTTGCTAGAATGATTCACCAATGATGTTCAATAATGTGAAATTATTTTGAATAAGAAAATTCTATCAAAATGTTCCTTATTCAAAATATATTTTCATAAAAGTATGAATGATTTATTCTTTAACCATTGCTCAGGTACATGCAACAAGGAGCTGAAACAGTGCATGCAGCAAACCCTAATGTTCTAGTCATCCTCTCCGGGCTAAGCTTCGATAAGGATCTATCTTTCCTCAAGAATAAGCCAGTGAACTTGACGTTCTCGGGCAAGTTGGTTTTTGAGGTGCATAGGTATAGCTTCACTGATGGGCAGGAGTGGTCATCGGGCAACTCGAACAGAGCATGTGGGCGAATAAGTAATGACATAATGAGCAGAGGAGGGTTTTTATTGGATAAAGGGTACCCATTGTTTGTGAGTGAGTTTGGGATTGATCAAAGGGGTATTAATGTAAATGATAATAGGTATATCAGCTGCTTCTTGGGTTTGGCAGCTGAGTTGGACCTTGACTGGGCACTATGGACACTGGCTGGAAGTTATTACATTAGGGAAGGAACTGTTGGACTTGAAGAGTTTTATGGGGTTCTTACTTGGAATTGGAGTCAGCCAAGGAACACCACCTTCCTTCAGACCATTTCCGCCCTTCAGTCTCCATTTCAAGGTACTCTGTCGTCCAACCCATCAAATTCCCAGCTAATTTATCAACTAAATGCACAATTAAGTAAAAGACAGATATAAGTTTTTTTTTTGTTTTTTTAAATGTTTTCAAAGTGACAGTTATTTGAATGAGAGAGTATAAGTTAAAAGGTAGGATATTGTATTAATATTATAAATGTGACATACATGCAGGACCAGGTTATGAAGAGTGTTGTCCACATAAACTAATTTTCCATCCAATGACTGGGCTATGTATTAGAAGAGTTTCACTCCTCCAACCACTTGAGTTAGGTCCATGCTCTGAGTCAATAGCATGGAATTACTCTACATCTCCAGCTAATACATTAACAGATGAAGAAACTAACAGTTGCTTAGAGGCAGAAGGTCTTGGAAAACCAGCAAAACTTGGTACTACATGTTCGGGTAATAGCTCAAGATGGCAACTCATCTCAGATTCCCAAATGCACGTGTCTTCCAAACTGGAGGATGGGAGTAGTGTTTGCCTCGACATAGATTCTAACAATGTTATCATCACCAACAGCTGCAAATGCTTGAACAATGCTACTTCATGTGATCCTGCCAGCCAGTGGTTCAAAATAATCAACAGCACAAGAGCAATTACATCAACTGATAAAGTTGTGCAGCCGACCATCTCACTTCCGTATTTTCTTGAAAAGTTAAAAGATATTGCAAGCTACATTTGGTAGTGAGTACAGTTTATATAGATGATATAGTTCTTAATATATACTCCTTATAAAAAGTCAAATAAGTCTTTTGTTATGTTTTAAGAAAATGCCTACGATGAATTTCTTTTATATATACTGAGATGGATTTGTTACACTTCTCGTAAGTCGCAATACTCATTTGATGACTAAATAATATGTAGTACTCTTGAAGGACTAACATCTCTAAATTAAACTTAACTTCCATAAAGCTCACAAATATAAGATGATGACATTACTCTCACATCACCACATCACACATGATGGTGTTTTTGTGTCGAGTCCATATCATCAAGGATCTAGACATCAACTAATGAAAGCATTTAAGATAATTAATTAGTTCTGTAACAGATATCAAAGTTCATGACTGAATTGGGAACAGTTACAAGTTCAGTCTAGGTCTAAACTAAAGATTTTTGTAAAAGTTCAGCCTAAATATATACTCCCTCCGTCCCAGGAGAAGTTCCCGGGTTGACTTTCACACATATTTAGGAAATAAAGTTACTGAGGGGTAAATTTTACTGTTTGACACTGTTTCGACACTGTTTGGCACTGTTTCGACACTGTTTGGCACTGTTTTGCACTGTTTGACACTGTTTTGATGTAGGATAACTTTCCATTTAGGGAAATGGGAACTTTTTGTTGGGACTACCAAAAAAGGAAAGTGAGAACTTCTCCCTGGGACGGAGGGAGTATAACAATAAGATATTCTTCAAATATATTTTTAGATCATTTTGTTTCTACACTATATGTCGATTCATATTAGCCGACTCTAAAAAATTTTAGGGACTAAGGCTTGGATGTTGTCATTTGTTGTTGTTTCTTTCTTCACTACATCCTCTTCCATTTGGGGCGCATTTTACCATTCCAGAAAAAGAGTCTTAATCTGGCAATTAACTATCCCAATAATCCCTCAACTGTGACATATGCAAAAGTTCATAATTTTCTCATCAAGAGATAGTGCTGGTCAATATCCATAAAGAAAATTGTTTATACCTGAGGTGCCAATAAGTTACCGAATCGTCTTACATATGTGCACTCAATTGATCCTCATTACCCTATATGCCAACATACTTAGTGTTGTTGAGGTTAAAAAAATCTAAGTCGCTTCAGCTATGTCATCCCAAAAACTGTTTTATACCTAAATGTACTGTTTTATTGCTATGCTACAATATAATAACGACATGTCACCATCAAACTACAAAAAACATATGACAGGATCTGTGAACCTTCTGAAGGTTTGAAACTTGATGGTTTGGGAATAGAAGAATAGGAGGGCTAGAAGGTCGGAGGAGGCAAATGGAGAAACTACGTATACGTTTTTTTTTTTTTTTTTTTTTTTTTAAATGAACATGTTTTTGGTTAATGAGAATGCAAGTGATATTGGAATAATTTGTTTAGGCAGATCACACATGGCATTCAATTAAGCGTGGGCAATTTGATTGGATCGTCCCGCCATTAAATATACTTGTACACAATTCAGTCCATTCAGCATACTAGTCATGTAGATGGAAGGAACTCAAACATTTATATCCAACTTTAAACCTTACCAAACCAAACAGGCTCTTTAGTCTGGCAAATCACTGTCCCAAAAGTTCCTCAACTGAGACATATGCAAAAGAAGTTCATCCTTTCCCAATCCCGAGACACTGCTCGTTGCTATCCATGGAGGAATGTGTTTATAATTTTGTCTGAGAAACTCTTGAAATTCTCTTATGTTTTCATCTGGCGGTTTTACTTTCCCCCCCTTCATCTTGTCACACTTCGTGAAGACGAAGGTCATTGGTATCTGAAAACAGACACACACATGAAGTGATATGAATGACATAAAAACACTATAGTAGTCACAAAAACATTTTTAGAAATGCTGGACTTGGCATGTTGACCCAATTGAAGCACATCAGGGGCAAACTTAGGCTCCATTGAGCTTCTTCTTCTTCTTTAAGCTTTTTGTCTTGCATCTTTTTACCATTTCTATCTTGTGATAAAGAGTATCTCCCATTTATATCACGCCTTAAACACACCTCTCTGATTTCTGTTCAAACTTGAAAGGTATGTAAGGACCCCAGAAAATGATTTGCAAAGAAATATCATTACTATGAAAATTTAATTTCTTATGCTTAAAATACATACATTAAGATCTCTTAGTCTTTTTATAATAGAAATAAATAAATGCATTATAGCCGCTCTATGTACTAATTCCAAGCACAGAGAAGATGCTATAAAGTACTCGATGAAATGATCATCAGCCTGATTTATATCATAAATATGATGCTGGCAAGACTCCTCCTAGGAGAAACATTGAGCTTGAGCAAACATCTAAAATAAATGTAGAATTTGAGCCTATCCTCTATTTCACCCGGAATTTTATCTCCATCCAAAAAATTCTCTATTTTCTTTCCCTAGTATTTTACATGTCCCAAGAGGGTTTAGAAGAGGGAAAAACAATCTAAGCCGTGACAAAATCGGTAAAAATATTTTAAAAAAAATGTGAGATAAGTTTTCACTTGGAGTGCAGGATGAGGCAAATAGAAGTTGAGTGGGGCTCAAAGGGATCACCATGCCAAACTCATGTGTTTAAAAATTGGTTTGCAAGTGATCAAGGTGAAATAGAAGGTGATTATGTGAATCATACTTTATTTCGGCCAAGCCAATTAGCACAGTCAAGGTCAATCTTCTGAGTTGGTACACTTGCATCAATTAAAAGCAGAACCGAAACCAAAGTTTCTCGGTTTAAGAAGTATCCTTTTGTGAAAGAGGACCAATCCATTTTAGCAGATGCAGAGGCATTGGCAAAACTACACAATAAGGCCATATGTGTTGCAAACCAATTAACTACCATAAAATAGTAGTGCTGGATAAACGGTGGAAATGGTAAACGGGGGTAAAAATCATACCCATATCCAGGCAAATCCACTATATACCAACTTTTGTTCACTAAAAAGTGATTAATTAGCTGAGTTTTCCCTACACAATACACATGACAGAGTGAAAATCTACCACAACTCAATAGTTACCTCAATTTGTTAATCTTACCAAAATATCATAAAAGAACTATCTTTGGAACTCAGAAAATAGCGAAAATAGATTACAGTAGGGAAGTGTAAAATGCAAAGGAGAACTACTTTATGATTGTCTTTAGTCTTTACCTTAGGAAATAGGAAATGCAATGAAAACTCAATTTTGATACAAAAAAATTACTTTTCGTTTTATATACATAAATTTCAGAATTTCTTAGTCCTTGTGGAATAGTAATATATAAGAATGGTTTGTTCAAATATCCAAAAATGATTTGTTTGAGTTTGAAACGATATTTTATTTTCCTCCCTGTTTTCTGTTCTTCCAACTGTTCCTTTATTATCCCTCCCAATATTCTTTCCTTGGCATTTTCCTATTCCAAGTGCCAAAAGGACCCAAAAATCGAGGAAGAAAAGATACAATACCGGGCTTCTTCGATGTAAGAGCAACCTCTTTCTTTCGAACCAGAGCATTAATGAGGGAGGATTTCCCCACATTTGACCGACCCAGCATGGCAAATTCAGGTCGATCGTCCTTAGGGCAGTCCTTCACCTTATTGCTACTCTTCACAAACTCCACACTGTTAATCTTGGAGTCTCCAGCATATGGTCCAATGACAATATTAGAGCCGGGTAGGATCATTTTGTCAGTAATAACTTCTGGGTTAACTCCAGGTGGCACAAATAAGTCATTTTGCGGAATGCTAGCGGTTTCAGTCTGTGGTGAAGCTTTAGAGGTCTTGAAAGTGGCATGACGGAAAGATGAAGGGATTGGGAAAGAGACTGAAAATGGAGGAGCCAGGGAATGAACTCTGGAGTGCAGAAGTGAGGTGTATTGAGGAGTACTAAAGAGGGAAGACCTCAATTTCACTAGCATCTTCTGCTTCCTTATAAAGTCGATTGGCTTCTTTAAATGGTGAAATATACCTAAAACGGCTAAAAGGCTAAAAGCAATTGCAGGATTCGCTTTAAGGACCTGTTCTTTCACGTCACGTGCATAATCATCACGGCTTAGCCTAGGCGCCGGAGACGGAGAAAACGCGCCAGGCTGGGTCGACTCACCTGAAGTGTCCTAGGAATCCCTGGCGTCGATTAGGCGTCGTTCAGTCGCGTGAAGCAGCCGTCGCTATGCCAGATCCGATTTTTCGCCAATCCGCGTACTCGGTTAGAACAGATCCTTGCACCCCTCTAGCCTGCGGTCGCAGGTCGCAGGTCGCAGGTCACAACCCAGTTTACCGCAGCTGGTAGTCGCCGGAGCCAGAGATTTTGGGAAGGGGGCGTCGTGATGAAGGCTAAAAATGTTGTGTATTGACTAAAAATTGTGTATATTTGTTCAAAATATAATAAAAACAATAAAAGTGTAATAGATTAGTGAAAATTTTAAAATGCACGCGACGTGCTCTTTATTGAGCACGTAAATACGTTATCCGTATAAGTGAGACGGCTCCCACCTAAAACTAAGAAACGATGATATCATTCACACGGCTCCCACTTAAAAACATACAGTTTATAACATCATCAAATTATTCCATTTAAAAAACATCATCAAATTATTAAGTTTTATTACTATTTATTAAATTAAAGTAAAAATTAATAAAAATACCCCAAACTTTGAATGGTGTGAGGTAAACACCTCAAACTTGCATATGTAATTTAAATATTCTAAATTTTAAATAAATAGTTATTTTTGCACCATTGTAATGTATTATTTCTTTCAAAAATGAAAATTGGGTTAATTGCATAATTTAAATTAAAAAAATAAAAGTGTTCCAATTATATAGATTGGGGTAACATTATTTATTTCCTAATGGAGGTTTAGATGTTAATTGTGTCCTCGTGAATTCTAAAATATTTTAATGTGTGCAATTAACACCATATATTTACATTTCTGAAAGAAAAATACTTCACTATGGTGCTAAAATAACTTTTTATATAAAATTTTGGGTATTTAAATTACATATGCAAGTTTGGGGTGTTCATCTCACACCCCTTCAAAGTTCGGGGTATTTTAATTATTTTTCCCTAAATTAAAATACGTAATGTTTGAGATGGTAAGAAGATACCGGTCAGTGATATGTTCTGTTACTTGAGCTCCATAATTCAGAATGACAGTGAGTTAGATGGAGATGTATCCCATATAATCAGAATAGGGTGGATGAAGTGGAAGAGTGCGTCAGGATTTCTTTGTTATCGAGCTACGCCGACTAGACTAAAGGGTAAATTTTATAGGACATCAATTAGGCCTGCATTACTGTATGGCACGGAGTGTTGGTCGGTGAAACAATGTCACATTCAAAAGATGAGTGTGGCAGAGATGCACATGCTGCGTTGGATATGTGGGCATACCAGAAAGGACCGCTTGAGGAATGAGACAATAAGACAAAGGGTGGGAGTAGCACCTATTGAAGATAAGATGCAGGAGTCGCGCCTACGGTGGTTTGGTCATGTGCATAGAAGACCGAGTGATGCACCTGTCAGACGAGTTGAGATGTGTGAAGAAGAGGCAGAGAACAGAGGGAGAGGAAGACCCAAACAGACGTGGGTTAGGGGAGTCAGAAGTGATATGTTTTTTCTTGGATTGGATGAGGGTATGACTTTGGAGAGAACAAAGTGGAGGACGGGTATTCGTGTGGAGGAGTGATCTTGTATCATCCTTTCACCTCTTTTTTCCCCTATTTTTTATTCGTTTTGGTGATATCATGTATCGATTCATGTTAGCGACCCCAATTCTTTTGGGACTAAAGTTTGGTTGTTGTTGTTGTTGTTGTTGTTGTTGTTGTTGTTGTTGTTGTTGTTGTTGTTGTTGTTGTTGTTGTTGTTGTTGTTGTTGTTGTTGTTGTTGTTGTTGTTGTTGTTGTTGTTGTTGTTGTTGTTGTTGTTGTTGTTGTTGTTGTTGTTGTTGTTGTTGTTGTTGTTGTTGTTGTTGTTGTTGTTGTTGTTGTTGTTGTTGTTGTTGTTGTTGTTGTTGTTGTTGTTGTTGTTGTTGTTGTTGTTGTTGTTGTTGTTGTTGTTGTTGTTGTTGTTGTTGTTGTTGTTGTTGTTGTTGTTGTTGTTGTTGTTGTTGTTGTTGTTGTTGTTGTTGTTGTTGTTGTTGTTGTTGTTGTTGTTGTTGTTGTTGTTGTTGTTGTTGTTGTTGTTGTTGTTGTTGTTGTTGTTGTTGTTGTTGTTGTTGTTGTTGTTGTTGTTGTTGTTGTTGTTGTTGTTGTTGTTGTTGTTGTTGTTGTTGTTGTTGTTGTTGTTGTTGTTGTTGTTGTTGTTGTTGTTGTTGTTGTTGTTGTTGTTGTTGTTGTTGTTGTTGTTGTTGTTGTTGTTGTTGTTGTTGTTGTTGTTGTTGTTGTTGTTGTTGTTGTTGTTGTTGTTGTTGTTGTTGTTGTTGTTGTTGTTATGTTTGAGAGCTTTTCTCTCAAGGCGGCTGTCTCCCCTAGGTTTGGGGGTTGTTTTTCTCCGCTTTCCTCTCCGACGAAGTGCGGCTCTCTTGTGCGGCTCTCTTGTGCGGCTTTCGTCTGCATTTCGTGAGGTTCTCTTATTCGGCAGACCGCAACGCCTATATGACAGCCAAAAGTTATGTACCCCTAGCCGCAGGAAATGGAAAGTTTCGAGGATGCCGTTCATGATTGAGATTAGGTCATGGACGAAGCACCACTCTATAGAAAAAAACAAACAATTCAGAAATCAAACATTCAACTGTGAATGGAATCAATTAATAAACTAATCAAATAATCATATCAGACTAATCTGCTTTCGTGTGGAATTTTTTATGAAATTTTAAAAGAATGTTTGTCATAAGTGTAGATTATATCCCTAAAATTTTGCTTAAAATTCAATCGTGAAGTTAGTTAAATAAATTAATGAACAACAATGCGTCAAAATATATATAAAAACAGAGTGTTTTTTCAATAATTTATTTAACTGAGTTATAAATTGGACTTATTTAAACTGTTTTTTTTACATAATCTATGTTCATAGAGAACATGATCAGAATTTCTCACAAAAGAACCCATTCCGAAGAACTTCAACAAATTTCATTAAAACAAATTGGTAGTTTAGGACAGAAAAATCAGCCTAATTATGCTTATTACAAAGAACTAAATTTCGACCTATTTTTTGCTCAATTTTTTGCACCTAGGACTTTGCACCCCCTAGGATCGCCCCTGCTTTTCTGTGGAGAAAATGAAAGAAAGTTAATCTAATCTCCTTTTCTGTCTTTTCTTGGGAGTTCAAAGGATGACAGGCTCGTAACTTGTTTTTTGAAAGTTTCATTAATTTGCTGCCACGTGGACTTACGTGCTCTCTAAGGAGCACGTTACGGGCTTAATAAAATTTCTGCTCGGACAGAAATTTTGAAATACGAAAATTGATATTAAAAATAGTATCAAGTTATATCACACCGTTTATAACATTGGCTCCCTGCGGTCGTCGTCCCTAAGCTTAGAGTTCAGATTTTCCGCAGACCGCCGCCCGGGGTCGTGCGGCTTTCGTCATCCGGTTTTTAGCCGATTAGCATTGCATAGATGAGGGTGAGGAGCAGATTGGCTGTTCGCAGGTCTTGCAAGGGAGAGCTTCGCACGCAGTTTCTCTTCGGTTGAAGAATCGGTCAAGGAGGTTGCCGCCACGAAGTTTTGTGATACTTTTGCCTCTTCCTGTGCAGGTTATTGTTTTCCCACAAGGGTTGCGGCCACGAGGGTTCGCGGTGCAAGAGTTGTAGGGCGAAGATGATGACCGCTAGCGGTGATTTGGGCTCAGAGTGTGGGATGAGGAGAGTCGCACGGGTTTCGAATTGGTCATATTTCGATCGACAATGGAGGATTAGTTAGAGAGGTACCAATAGTACAACCTCCTCTCATTCACCAGAAACCATGATTTTCATCTCAATAGCGAAGGTTTGATGCTCAATTAAAATGCTATGATGTTCAACTAACAACCTTATGATTTTCATGTCAATGTGTACTTTATAAGTTATGTATACTTATTTGGTATTGATGTAGTGCTCATTTTAAAGTGTCGTATCAATGCATATTTCAAAAGTATCATATTACATTAGATTCACATTTTGAAATTAATAAGAGTGAATTATAGATATAATTTAATAAGTTTATATAAAAGAAAAAAATAAGAAAATAAAAATGAATTAGAAAATATGAAGTAGAGATCGTGATACTCATTGTTACCCTCATAATACTCAATACAATAGATCAGATGCTCAATAAAAGTACACTATTCCTCATTTAGAGGGAACCGTGTTTTTCGCTTAAATTACAAAAATGCCACTTAAAAAAGTTAGATAGTTTTAGACTGTCTTTTTTAATTGGGCCTTTTTTGTGGTCCTTCGTTGGATTCATTAAATTTTATGAAAATTGGGTTATTAAAATTGGTCTGAATCTTAAACAAAATTACAAATAAACATGGATGTAGTGATGTGCGGTTCTTACCCGTACACCCAGGTGGTCGGGTCTATAATATACAAACTGCCGAACATGTGGCTAGGGATGTTTTTACTTGAACTGTAATTTGCTGGTCTGATTTATTCTGGTCTGGTCTGATCTGTTCTGGTCTGATCTGTTTTTTTATATTTTTATAACTATTCAAATCTGATATGTTCTGTTCTGATCTGATCTGGTTTGTTCTAGGACAAATTAAGGTAAGTAAAAACGTCGTAGTTAGCCCATTAGAGGGCCGTAATATCTACTCCGTATTTATTTAAAGATTTTCAAAATAAAAAACATCAATTGAAGCAAGTAAACTAGCCGTTGGCATCAGTGCATCACCATCTTGCCCTAACATCCGCGCAGCGCGTTACATCTGAAACCGCTCGTGTTACGATCTAATGTCTTTTTTTTTCCTTGAAAAAATTCAGATAACAGCAGATACAAGCTAATTTCTCGAGGGATTTCAAGAACCATTGAGTCTCTAATTACCGAAGAGGAGAATAGGGTTTCACTGCTCAGTAATGGCTGAAATTTCTTCCCCTTGTATGGTGCCATCGTTTTCCCAGCCTTTCTTAAAGTCCTGTGATGGCCATGAGGTCAGTTAAACCAATTTTCTAATTTTGTGTTTATATCGGGGGAAGCGGGGTGGGAGTCGTACTGGAAATCGTCGATGAAGTTCATCAATTAAGTGTACTCTCGTAATAATTTGGGATGTTACGGGTTTATCTGCAGCGCGAGTTTCTTATTTTTCACTTTTCAGTATTTTGAGTTATGGATAGTCTTGCTCCTCGATCACTGTGTTGTAATAACTGAAAGATGTTAATCCCAGAAAACCTATTTTTCCCAAATCAATTTTGTATACATTTTCGTTCAAAATTATGAACAACCAGTTTGGTCATGCATTTTATGTGTTCGATTTTTGGTTTTGGGAGATTTCCATCTGTTACTATGAAAGCTCCTGTTCATTGTAGGGAGATATTCTTCGTGCTCTAACATCTTCAATCTCGTTTGGGAGATACATGTCAGAATCGTTAGCTTGGGATAAATGGTCAACATTTACTAATAATAATTACAGAGAAGAAGCTCTGAGGTATTCCAGACCTGGTTCTGTTGCAGAGAAGAAAGCTTTCTTTGAAGCCCGGCTTAAGACAGGGGCTGCAAAAAAACCTGCAGCTTCTCCTTCTACTCAGCAAAAAACTGACCATTCCTCTGAAACTGGTGAATGTGGCCAGGAAACTGCCATAGCAGTACACTCAGCAGTACAACAGCATATATGCAGTGAAGAGCAAGTGGAACCAGACCGAGGCACTGACAAGAATAAGTTGTGTAAATATGAGAAAATGAACATAGGGGTAATGACATTAAAATTATATTGTCGATACTCTGTTATGAAAACCTCCCTCCTTTCCTTATGGTATGTTGCATGGAGGGTTTGGGAATTTTTTAGGTGGGGGAGGGGGGTTGTAATGTGTTGGAGGCTTTAGTCTATATCTTGATGAATAGAATGTTTCAAAACATCAATAAAAGGTTATTGAAGCATTGAGAGCTAATCCTATATGCTTTTTTATTACGGAGTAAATGATTGTACAACATTTCATGTCACCCTTTTTGCATTTTAGAGACGCTCAATTTATCAAGAGATAGACTAACCACTCAAAATGTCTTCCCCGAGTTGATTTCCTAATCCTGCTTATGCCCAGCCTGACCCTGCACAGGTCTGAGTACCCAACTGATGTTTTTCAAACATTTATGAGCAGTTATCTTATAGTTAGATGTGCAAATTGTTATACCTCGTTTTCTTGGCTGATGATGAACTTTCAGGTTGCTGCTACATCAGGAGACCCACTAGTCTTGCACAGCTCACCGCATTCATCAACAACCATAAAGCAATCAGCTAAATATGGATTACCTAATCCTCAACCTGTTAAGCCACCGTCTGTTCCACCCAAGAAGACTGACAATTGTACCTCAAGCAGTAGTAAGCAGGAGTCTACTAAAAGGTCAGCAACTAAAAAGCAGTTCACTCCAAGAACTCTTCATGTGTCAACAATGAAGACGGAACGTGATGACCATGAGCCAATAAAAAAGTCTTCTCCAATTGTTCTGAAGATTGTAGATTCTAAAATTGTCAGAGCAATGACCAATACAACTTCAGAGTGCAGATTCAAAAAATATCCTCTTAAGGTGAACACTGAAGAAATGCATCCAGATGAAAAAGAACAAGAAATTGCCGTTCCCAAACAAACAGAAGAACCTATACTCAGTAGTAAGCAGGAGTCTACTATAAGTTCAGCAACTAAAAAGCAGTTCACTCCAAGAACTCTTCATGTTTCAACCAACAAGATGGAACATGATGACCATGAGCCAATAAAAAGGTCTTCTCCAATTGTTCTGAAGAGTGTAAATTCTAAAATTGTCAGAGCAATGACCAATACAACTCTAGAGTGCAGACTGAGAAAATCTCTTCTTAGCGTGAACACTTTAGAAATGCATCCAGATGAAAAAAAAGATCAAGAAAGTGCAGCTCTCAATCAAACAGAAGAACCTATACTCTGTCAGAATACGGTGAAACTGAGTGATTATACATCATGTCTAGATGAGAATATTGAACCAAAGGTATGTATTTTATGAGCCATATATATCTGTAAAATGTGCATATTATCCTATTTCATGAACTGTTGTTGATGTTTTAGGAGAGAACTGTTACAATGGGAGAATCAGATGAGACAACTTGTTCATCTGCAGCTATGACACCTGCTATAAAAGTTGGATTGCTTAAGCCACGACCTATGAAGCCACCACCATCTATTCAGTCCAAGAAGAGTGAGCATTCTACTGCAGGAGCCCTCGATGTGACAGTCAGATTTGAGCACCACGAATCAATAAAAAAATCTTCTCCGGCTCTTCAGAAGATGGTCAATTCCAAGTTTGTCCGAGCAGTAACTGATAATACAACTCGAGAGAGCAGATCTAAAAAATCTCCCATCAGGGTGCACTTCTTCACTAACCATCCTTTTCTTTTCTGTCAATTTTGTCAATTCAAGTTATTACAAATGATTTCTCTTAGATTTTTCTTTTATATTGAACTTCAGGCAACTGGCTATTCATTACCAAAACATGTATTATCTGAGCCAGCAAGCACAAGGTAAGTGTTTTGTTAAAGGCTTTAACATTCTGTTTGGGATCACTTATGATAAAAGACAAAGTGTTTTCGTTAGGAGTGATATCTCATTTAAGCACTAAAACTGTATTTTTATTCCTTCAAGTCCTTGCTGAATGATTATTATCTCCCAATAAAAAAGCACTTGTTCATTTACAATTGGTCATTCAAATGCACTACGTCTTTAGTAAGTTCAAATGTGTAAGAATCTTATCTTTTTCATATAGGGGCAGCAATTTTTTATCTCCAAGAGCAAATATAAGTACAACAAAACCTTCTTCCATTACATGCTCTTCATTCGTCTTCAGGAGTGAGGAAAGGGCAATAAAGCGTAAAGAGGTACGTGAACCACTATCAAAATAATGCCATAAATATCCAAATCCACCTAAGCAGCACATTTTTCTTTGTCTTCTTCAGTTCAAACAGAAGCTAGAACAGAAGCTGAAAGAGGAGAAGCAGATGCAATCAAAAACAACGGTCTGTGTGTGAGCATATGAGAGTTCCTGAAATGTGAAATTTACCACATGAAAACATCATGTTTAACACTTCTCTTTTGGCAGGATAAAAGAACGAACGTCACTAATCATCTGAAAAGAGGAGATTCACCTCATAACACCATGAAGAAGGTAATTAACATTGTTCAGTAGAAACAAAAAATTTTTATTTCTAAGTTTCTAACATTGTTTTGTTATGCGCTGACATGAAATACGCGTTTATAATCGGCAGATGCCAGAAGTACAAAAGCCTGTCTGGAAAGTCCAAGAGAATAGTTCCAGACCACCCTGGAGGGTTTCAATAAAACCTGATAGCTCCAAAGAAGCTGTTGTGGTAAAGCCCCAAACCCCCCTCTCCCGTTCGGCCAAATCAATTGTGGCCTCATATAGAAATGCAAATGCTTCCTCCCACACATCCAGGTTTGAGTATAAAAAGGGCAATGTTGATTGTAAAGAACAGTGAAAAGCACAGATTGATATTTTCTCTATATCTCCTCTTACCCGAAATGCATATATTGATTTGTTCTAATATTGTTGAGGGTCTGGACACCAATAACCAAGCAGATTGTATAGGATTTTTTTGTGATTGCTTTTTGCAGTCCCAATATATATCAACAATATAACATTTTCTAATGCTATGTAGGGCTATTAACATCTATGAGTCCTCTTAGGGCCCCATTTGCTAAAGGTTATTTGGCTTAAACTGCTGAAAGAAAGTGTAAAATATCCCTTTCAACCAAATGATTAAGTAATAACTTATGTGTTCAGCTGATAGAAACAATAATAAGCAGGGTAAAAAATCTATGGCTACCGAAAAGGGCCTTAGTATTTAATACGGAGTATAATGTTTCAACATTTCAGCCATATTATCGATTCAGATATGCAAACTATATAAAAACCCAAAAGGTCTTTACTGCAGATACAAGCAAACAGATTTTGATTTGGCACTCTGTTATAACATTTTGTGCAACACGTGATAGTGGTCGTGTTAAAAAAGGATATGCTCACAACATTAGCGAGATTTTCCTTTAAGGAATATTCTGACAGGTTTAATATCCCCTCGTGAATAATGGTTGTAAGGTTCATATTGTTTCGTAATCGCCATGTTGTCATAGTTTACCTTGAAGATGGATGGAGTGTAAGCTCACCTTAGAGGTTGCAGCCACTAAAGTCCTTGTCTCGTGTTTCAAAGGCTGACCCACCTTGTGGGATATGTTTACTTTTGTCGAATTATAAACTATTTAATAGAACCTAATGATCAAAAGCTTTAAGAAATAGAATGTTGTTAACAACTTATGGAGCATCAAAATGTTATTTTTTGACTGTTGACTCTGCCTCTCTCTCGACAGATTATTTGACATCAAAAGCGCTTTTTTCAAATCTGATTCTTCTTTTTTTAGAGCATGATAATCGCCTCGGCTCCTATCCCGCATGCAGTTGGTACTGAAGTGTGATAGAGATTTTTCATTATAGAAGTACCAGCAAATAAAGAGAAAAAAAAGCATTTGAGTTTCACATTCAAAAATAAGCAAATGTGGTTGCTTTTTAAATTAGCTTTGGTTTAAACATCTCTGCCTAAGTGTTTGACTTCTCTTCTCAATCTATCATCTTGCTAGAACTGACCTCCTCTATGACCGCTTGACCCACCTATATACATGTCTGGCCCTAGTCTGCTGCATGCGTAGCATATAACGCTTTTTAGAACACTGTATATTAGTGATGTTCTGATGGATGAATCGTGGGCCATCATTGTGAAGTCAACACATGTGTGTCATATAGATCAGGACCGTTGATTCAAAGAAGCTCATCAACCATCAGAGGCTTGATACAATAGTAGAACTTCTAATATGAGGCTTCATACTTTTTTATTGATGTCTGCATTTGGTGGACTCAGCCAAATAAAGCTTGCCAGTTTGATTAAATACTCCTATCCGCTTCCAGGTGACCGGGAGGCCGGACAACTTGCAAAAATATACTACGTACAAAAAAAATATTATTTTAGAGCAATCTTAAGGTATACATGTGTAGAAATTATGATGTATGACTGAATGAGTAGTATCAAGTACTAGAATGTAAACAAATGGATAAACAAGCCCTCTGAAGACAATATATTACACCACCAAAACTACTAATGACTTCAATAATAAGCTTATATTCAGAAAGGAACATTGCAATCTAGAATTTCAGCAATACTAGTCCCTACCAATTGACCTTGCATAACATACTAAAGATTGAATCTTGTTGTGAGTTTAATAAAGAAAGCAAAAGGTATTTTTATAAGTGATGAGAAGGACCTTCATAATAAGTTAGCTCCTTGAGCATATATCTTTTCAAGAATCTTCTGCCAGGTTGGATCACCTTAAAGCATGAGAACCTTGGGACCGGCCGGAAAAGTATAAGGAAAGAGATTTCGCCGGGTATGTGGTACCCTCATCAAGACAAGTTGCCATCCACAAGTGGGAAAAGAAATGAAGTGCAATAATAATTTGGGTTTCAAATTTTATACAAACCACTCAAACTTTAATCATTAATAACTTTTTCTAAAAAATTATAAAAAGTTGTCATTTCAAGATTTAGTGTGAAACAATTTTGAAAATGGTTTACTTCAATTATTTTCTTTTTAGCACATTAATAATAAATATAGTCGTGGTATGGTTTTGTTGGTCAAAAATAGGACGCTAGCAAAACACGGTGAGATGGGGACGAAGTATAGTTCCGAGTAGGATAATGAAATAGTATGGTAATAGAGAAGAGAGAGCCGAAGGGTATATCATTTAGCTAAACTTGTTTGGGACTACAATACATAGATGAAGCTTATTTACAAGGCTTACCAGAAACAAGAGTTTCATAAGTTTGTTGCCCATATTGGGAAGGTTGTGTTCACCACCACACGTTGGTATATTAAACATTAACATTACAATTTCTAAGAACATTGGGAAAAAATGTACAGATACAAGGATAATTTCCATTGCTTAACTTTACAACAATGCTTTCATGGTATAACTTAGATCTCTATACATGATACATACTAATATATACTGCAGCCTCTCGACCATCCGGGGCGCTAAGCTAGCTAATAAGGCAGACAACGGCATACATACATAGGAATTGGACTCTTGGATTCTAATATCTGATCTAGCCTAATATATATAGCTAACTAGATATGAATGTGTAGTTACTTAAGACGATGACTTTGCACTAGCCTTCTTCTTGGCGACCATCTGGGAAAACGGTGGCTCACAGTAATCTCCCTTGAAGAAGAGTTCAGACAGTTTCTCATTCATGGCGTCAGTGAAGTGAATCCCATCCCAACTCATATACTTGTCGGGATTCTTACAAGTGGATGAGCTGGGGGAGCCGCACAACGACTTGAAGTCAAAGTTGAGGCTCCCACCGCCTCCACCGCAGCAAGCTTTGCTCCGCTCTTCGAACTTGTACTTTTGCTGGTTGTTGAAAATCTCCTGAAACGCCCTCCAGTAGTTGGCGTATAGGATGGTGCTCTCTGGGAACTGTCTGCGGAAGCTCTCTATGGTCTTGAGGAGGAGCCGGTTGTGGATGTCTATGGCGGTGTTTACAATGACGGAGCAGCCGTTGCTGTCGCGGAGGAAAAAGGGGCATGGCGCGATGGCGACTGGAAGGCAGCCTACTGGGGGAAGGCCTTGGACTACTATATACTTTGCTCCTGCTTCAAGAACCACCTGTAGGTCATGTACACAAAGGTATTCAATTTAGAAAAATGTTCATATAAATGACTAGTATAGGTTCATACTGAATGAAACCTCTCCCATTAACAAAAGGCAATGAGATAAGACAAGGGGAGTATTTTTGCAATGCACATACCCGGAGAAGTTTAGCAATATGAAGAACACATAACTGCGAAATGCCTCTCAAGTTGATGACGGATTTGGTATCGACCCGGGAGTAGTCCGACAAGCCCACTGAACCCAACCAGAAGAGCGCGTTCTCCACCTCCGCCTTGCACCGTGCGTCCCCTGTCCCGGTGCACCCCTTCGATGCCAAATACTGCTTAAACCACTGAATCTCCGTCTCAAATGGAAGAGGATTTCCCGCCCATAACAGCGGGTTTGTGATGTTGTTGCTTCCCGCCAGAATCGTTGACCCCGAAATCGCAAAGTTTATTCCGAAACTGAAATTTATTTGGCCCGATATGGTTGCACCTCCGCGTGCTCCTGCGCCTCCGCCAGCGCCACCAGATCCTCCGCCCGCAGAAATCCCGGCATTGGCTCCGGCACGAGCGGATATAGAAGCTGACGCTCCAGCAGATCCCGCAATCGCAGCGCCTGCGCCTGCACCGCCTCCTTGTGACCCGCTGGTTTGCGTGGTTGAACCGCTTGAAGAACCGGAACCTGTATTTGACGATGAGGCAGAGCCACCTTGTGCACCAGAGCTACTGCCAGTGCCAGATTTTGAACCACCGCTAGTACCGTTGGAATCACCCATTTGGCCAGATGAATTACTGGTTTGGCTAGCTGAACTCGAACCGGAACCGGAATTCGTATTTGATGAAGAGGAGGTACCACCAGTTGAACCACCACCGGCCGTTGAACCGGTTTGTTCCGTTGTAGCACCTGCTGAACCCGAACCAGAACCCGAACCGGTGTTTGACGATGAGGCGCTACCTCCGGCTGAAGCGCCGGAGCTAGAACCGCTTGTTTTTCCTGTGGATCCACCGCTACTTTCGGCAGAACCCGAACCCGTATTTGAAGACGAGGAACCCTTTTTGGACTCCGAAGATGACGAAGAAGAGGCATTCGATTCGCTATTTGACGAAGACGATGAACTTTTACCGCTACTTGACGAGGAATTGCTAGCACCGCCGTTCTCCGCCGCCGCCGATGAAGAATTATTTGCGGCCTGATAAGGAGGGAGAGGGGGGAGATCGAGAGACTTACAAAGATAGTCCACCACCAAATGACCGTTGGACATACGCCCCTGGGAATACGACGTCGAATTGGCCTTCTGAGAAGACGATGAGGAGGAGGAAGAAGAAGAAGATTGTGAATGCGTCTCTGAGGATTGTTTGGATGAAGAAGAAACAACCTCTTCTTTCACATTTCCCATGGAATAAGCATTTCCCGTGTCGGTGCTGGACCCACCAAAGGCGTAAACTTTGGAGAAGCTCTCGGAATGGCTACTGGATTCCGACTTGGAGGAAGATTCTTCATGGGTCACGGTGGTATCCGCCCATGAGAAAGAAGCGAAGAAGAAGAGGAACAGAAACAGGGATAGGGGCATTAATATTTTTGGCATATTGTTAATTTTAAATATAATCAACTAAACTAAAGCTTTTTTTTTTTGGTTTTTTCTTTTTAGGGCGTGAGGAGGAGATTTGGAGGTGGAACTTAATTTTGATTTGGAAAGAAATGAATGAATGCTTTGTTTTATACAAGCATGGAAAGAGGGTGCTTATTTTTCGGGAATGTTATGAGGTTGTTTTGGATGGATATAATCATGAAAATGGCTAATGAATGTCAACCTGCCTTTTTATCCGACATTGCCTCTGATCCAATGACTTCAAAGTTCAAATTATCAAATCTGATAGGAAAAAAATGGAAAATAATAATCTAACCTTTTAGCGGTCTTCTTATAATAATCCAATCTTTTGGTTATTTATGAATAATCCAACCTTTGCACCTCATCTTCATTAACTGGTCCATGACCGGTTGATGACCTACTATTCCAAGCTATTTTCTTATCTTTGCAAATCATTATACCATAAATTTCATCTTTCACAAAGATAATATTTTGCAAAGATAAGAAAATAACTTGGAATAGTAGGTCATTAACCGACCAGGGGCCAATGAATGAAGATGAGGTGTAAAGGTTGAATTATTCATGAATAATCAAAAGGTGAGATTATTGAAAGAAGACCGTTAAAAGGTTGAATTATTAGTTTCCATTTTCCCAATCTCATATACACTTTAATTAAAAAACATATTTTAAACTTGTTTTTTCATACTTCAACAGATTTTTGACAATTTTACACCTTTGGTAAAATCTTAATCAATTTCAACATAATAGTCAGTTCAGTTAATTTCAGGGTTATCAAATTGGTAAACAATTGTCGAATGTGCATTTATCACGCCACAAAAGCCATGGCCAAATGTAAAATTGATTCAATTCACTAAATTAGCCTATTACAGATGTTGGAACAATTTTACTTCGACAACTTTTCGATCTATTTGAATGTTTCTCTTAGAGTCATAGAGTCGTAGAGATTATTTGGGGAATTGCTGAATTGCATGAGTCTATTCACTCTATTGAGTTTGATGAAGTTTTGATTGAATTGCTGGATCTGTTAACTTATGAAAAAACTAGTATATTAAATATATATTTCATGAATAAAAATAAAGAGAAGATTATATAAATAAATATTAAAAATGATCATCTATGATAATTTCAACTAATTCAACTCCAATAAAATTATCATACGTATTAAGATTCAGCGTGAGAAATGAAAAATTATATGAAAAGTTTGACTAATAAAACTAATTAAAAAGGCATTTTCGGGCAATACGTAGTACATAGTACGAGTATATGAGCCCGTTTGGTAGCATGAAAATCGGTTGTTTTGGCTGATTCTGCTGAAATTTATTAAGTTCTGGTTGAAGTGGTTGCATTGGCTGATTCTGCTGCTTTAAGAAAAAAATTTAAATATGATGAGAGGTGGCTTTGTGCCTTTTTGTGGAACATTCTTAGTATCTCAAGGAGAACTAATTTGATGAGTATTGAAACCGGTTGTCCTGTTAGTGGGAATCTATCTCTATATAAAAAGAGGTGGAATTTTTGATGAATTTCCCGCTCAAATCTGTCACTTTCATAGATTAACGTTGGGCCAGATCAAATAGGTGAAATGGGCCGGAGGTTAGCAATGCCCTCGGGTTATTTTTTTTAGAGCATCTCCAATGGGAATGTCTATTCTCTTACACACTCTTACAATTGGGTCCCATTTTTTATCTCACAAATTTTATGTGTAGGACCTACATATCTCCTTATTTATTTTCATTTTCATTTTTTATATCACTTCTAACCCACTTTTCATCCACTTTTGCTCCTCGATTCCCGTGTAATGTCTATTTGTGGACATTGTCATAGACATTGTCTACAATTTACTCATATCTCTCTCTTCCTTTTCATTTTTCCATACACACCACTTTCTCCATATTAAATTAAAATAATTATCCTATCTCTATCTCTCTCCTATGCCACGTAGGATAGACTTTACTCCAATCCACTACCCCATTGGAGATGCTCTTATGGCTAATATTAATTGCTATTTGGATGGCTAATGTGGAATATGGACAGTTTTCCTTTCCCATTGCACCAGTCATTTTAGCATTCACATAAATGCTATTCATTTAACATTGATGTTGACTATTCATTTAAAGATCACCATAATGATTTGTCCCATCAATGCATTCTAGTACTTATCCAAATTGCATTCTAAGGCTGTCATACTGATACACGGTTGTCATTTGAACCCTCTAGGATGGAAGACGATGGTTGCGTGTTAATTACTCTTGAAATAAAGCAGTCCATATGTCTTCATTAGATAGGATCTGCTTCTTGGATAAAGTGGGATTTTTTTTCCGATGGTCAATCTCACTACCTTTTGAGTTTTTAGCTTTCAACAAGATCTATTGCTCATCCTGACAGGTTTGAACTTGCTCATTCTTCCATTAACATTATTCACAAATCTGATACGAAACATTGAATAGTGCATGTTATGTGTTTGATCTTTAGAAGGTAATTTAGGTTAGGAATAATGTGTTGTAAATACTTCTGGGAATGCTAATGTTTTTTATTTTTCGTCGAAACTACTGCTATGCTTCTTTCTTCATGTGAATAAGACAGAAGTATGTTTTATTGTACAAAATGAATTTGTGTGCTTATTGCAGGAGAAAATACAATGTTGAAAGTCAAGACTTGATTATAATATAAATAAGAGTATGTTCTTTCTTCCCGTGTGAAGCTAATTCACCCTATTGAATAGCAGGACTTATTCAAGACTGCGCAATTATCTCGCAAGAATTCACCCGACAACTGCGCTTTTATCTTCAAGAATTCATTTGAATGCCTTTCCGATTGAAGTTTTGGCTGAAATTTGGTATGAGTAAATTATAATTAATGAATAAGATGCTCAAAATATTGCATTAAAAAATTCCACCGGGAACCGCCCCAAATGATGAGGTCTGGACAGTAAGGACTTATTTGACCTTTTTTATGCAATTTCGAGGACCAATCTGATCCTTTACTCCTTCCAAAATTGTTGCAGTACTAGGCAATAACATGACAATATTTACATCCATTAATAATAGTATTTTAGGGAAGAACATAACAGTCATTTTTTGAAACTTCAGAATATGTTCACTTCTATTTTATTTATAATGGTTCAAATAGACAACTTAATTAGAGTACACCAATCAAGAGGGCAGAATGATTGAAAATGCAAATTAGTTATCATATTCTTTTTAATATTTACAAGGATCATTTCCACTCTTCAGGCTACTTTTACAAAAAATAGCTATTTACATAATGTTGTTCTATTATGTGCTCGCTCACATGATGAGACACATCTGGGGCGATAATAGACATTATAATACTACATCCTTTATTGCTGCACTCAACTACTTTTTTGACTAATTAGCTCTGAAAATGGCGGTTCACAATAGTCTTGGTGGAGCAAAAGATCGGCTAGTTGTTTGTTCATGGCTCCAGAGAGATGAATTCCATCCCAACTTATATATTTATTAGGATTGGAGCATGTGGTTGCACCAGATGTGCCACACAACTTGTCTTTATCAAAGTTAAGATCTCCTCCAGCTCCACAACAAGCTTTTTTTGTCTCTTCAAAATTATACTTTTGAGGGTCACTATATATTGTTAAAAAAGCTTTCCAATAATTTGCATAAATGATCTTGCTTTGAGGATATTGTTTACGAAACTTTTCTATCATCTTTTGGAGTAGCCTATTATGGACATCTATTGCTGTATTTACGATAGTAGAACATCCCATCTTATCCAGTAAGTGAGTTGGGCATAAAGATATGCTAACAGGAAAGCAACCTACAGGTGGTAAGCCTTGTACAACTATGTGTTTTGCACCGGCGTCCAACACGGTCTGCACTATCATAAAATTACATAGTTATTAGTGGTATTCTGAAAACAATCTTCACATGTAAGCATGGTTATTAAATTATATAAGTGCACATACCTGCATAAGTTTTGAGGTGTGAAGAATGCATAATTGTGATATTCCATGCATAGAAGCCACAGATTGGTCACTAATCCGGAAGTAGTCAGAAACACCTACTGCACCCAACCAAAAAAGTGCATTCTCAATCTCAGATTTGCAATGTGCATCAGCTGCATTATTACACCCCTTTGATTGCAAAAATTTGTTGAACCAATCTATTTGTGCTTGAAAAGTAAGAGGAATGCTTTGCCAAATAAATGAATGTGCTTTTTGGGAGGCATAATACTCTCTAGAGAGAGATGTTGATCCAGCAATAGCAAAGTTCATTCCAGACTCCGAATTTGAGATAGTAGTATTATTGAATGCTCCATATCCTTGGTCATTACTATTATTGGATGTTGAAGAATTTAAACCATCATTATTGTTATTTGAGATCGAAGAACTTGTTTCTCCATTTGATGTTGAATCTGCTCCAATGTTGTTTGACCATGAGGAACTACTGCTACTTGACCATGAAGAATCTGCATTGCTACTTGACCATGAACTACCAGAGTTTTGATTTGATGATGAATCATCCATTTTGTTCTTTGATAATGAAGCATCTATTTCATTATGAGAATATGAAGTATTAGTATTATGATTACTTGATGATCAATTTTAGAGCTATAAATAATGTCTAAACCACCTTTTGATAATGATTCACCTTACCATCTTTTGATGTTGAGCCATCTGTATTGCTTTTTGTCTGTGAATCATTTGAATGGTTGTTTGAGGATGCATCATGTTCATTACTAGTTGATGATGAAGAACTTGTATTGCTTTTCGGAAATGAAGCATTTAAGTTTCCCTTTGAGGATGAGGCATGTGTAATATTACTTGAGGATGAATCATCTGTGTTACTGTTTGAGGATGAATAATCTGTATTGCTCTTTGAGGATGAATCACTTGTGTTTTTCTTTGAAGGCGGATTTTCAGTATTGATCTTCGAAAGTGAATCATTTGTATTTCTCTTTGATGATGAAATATCTACATTGCTTTTTGTAGATGAAGCAGCTGTATTGCTCTTTGAGGATGAAACATCATTATTACTATTTGGAGACGAATCATTTGTACTATTCTTTGAAAGTGAAACATCTTTATTTCTCGTTGAAGATGAAGTGTCTGCATTGCTCTTTGATGATGAATCATCTACATTAATGTTTGAAGATGAAGAATTTGCATTGGTATTTGATGAAGACGCATCCATATTGTTCTTGGAAGAAGAAACATCAGTATTACTCTTTGAGGATGAACCATTTGTGTGATTGTTAGAGGATGAAGTATCTACATTTTCTTTTGAGGTTGAAGCATCTATATTGCTTTTTTTGGTTGAAGCATCTGAATTGCCCTTTTTGGATGAAGCATGTGTATTACTTTTTGAGAATGAAGCACTGCTATTTTTATTCGATGAGGCTTCATCATTGATCTTCGAAGAAGAATTATTATCACTCTTTGAGGATGAAGAGTTGGCTTCACTACTCTTTGAAGAAGAGCCATGTATGTCTGCACTTAATGACGTGTCATTGTTGCTCTTTGATAACTTTGTGTCTTCATTACCCACTGACGAGTAGGCGTCTTTGTCATTCTTTGACGATGATGTACTTTTATTGGTTGCTGATGATGAAGAATCTGTGTCACTCCCTGAAGATGAAGTGTCTTTTTTGTTCTTTGACAATGTAGTGTCTTTGTTGTCGTTCGATGTTATGCCCTTTGATGATGAATTACCTTTATTGCTATGTGATGATGAATCATTTTTGTCACTCTTTGATGATGAACCTTTACCTGACTTTGATGATGACGAGTCTATATCACTTTTCGATGACTTCAAGTCTGTATTTTTATCTGTTATACTTTTTGACGATGATGAATTAGTTTCTCTCTTTGAGGATGATGAGTCTGTATTACTCTTTGATGATGCACCATCTATATTAGTATTTGAAGATGAAAATACTTTATTACTCTTAGAGGATGAATCACTTTTGTCACTCTCTGATGACGTACCTTTGTTTTTATTGGATGATGATGAGTCTGAACCACTTTTTGATGAGGTCAAGTTTGTATTATTATTTTTATTTGTTTTTGATGATGATGATGAATCAGTTTCTCCCTTTGAGGATGAAGTGTCTTTATTACTCTTGGCCGACGATCCATCTTTATCACTATTTGATGATGAAGAGTCTTTCTTTCTCTTAGATGATGAAGCATTTGTGCTACTCTTTGACGATGAAGAATTTTTGTTGTTATTTGATGATGAATCTTCTTCATTACTCTTTGAAGAAGAAGTATCTTTGTTGCTCTTCAACGATGAATTGTCTTTTTTATTCTTTGAAGAAGAATCATCTTTGTCCCTCTTTGATGATGAAGAACCTTTGTCTTTCTTTGATGATAATTCATTTGTGTCATTCTCCGATGAGGAATAATCTTTGTTTTCCTTCGATGATGAAGAATTTGTTTCACTTCTTGAAGATGAACTATCTCTTTCACTTGTTGAAGAGGCACTGCCTATGTTACTTTTTGATGATGAAGTATTATTATTTTTTTGTGATGGTGAAGTATGTGTGTCACTCTTTGATGAAGACATATCATTTGTACTTGATGGGGATGATGTACCTTTGTAACTCTTTGATGATGATTCACCTATATTACGTTTTGAAGATGAACTAACACCTTTGTTGTTTGTTGATGATAAATCCTTGGTATTGCTCTCTGACGATGAATCGCCTTTGTGACTCTTTGTTGGAGATGTGTCTGCATTTCCCTTTAGTGAATTATTTGTGTTACTTTTTGATTGTGATGAAGATGAGTTATTTGTGTCTTTCTTTGATGATGATGAAGAATCGATGTTACTTGTTGATGACGAGGAGGCATCTGTGTTCACATTTTTTGATGATGAAGCATCTATATTGGTCCTTGATGATGGCAGTGGTGAATCCCTTGTGCCGCTCTTGGTTAATGATGAAATATTTTTTCCACTTTTATCATTCTTTGATGATGATGAGGAGGAGGAGTCATTGACATCACTATTTGATGATGAACTAAAAGAGTTACTACATGAAGAAAATGAATTGCTGTTGCTGCTAGAAAATGAAGCACTCCCACTACTTTTAGATGATGAAGCACCTGTAACACTTTGATAGGGAAGAGGAGAATGTATGCCAAGAGATTCACTTAGGTGGTCAACTACGAGGCGACCATTAGTTAATCTCCCCTTGGTATATGACTTTGGATCCTTATGTGATGAAGAACCACCAACATTATCTTTAAGTGTTCCCATTGAGTTGGCATTTCCGGTGTCTGTACTTGATCCTCCAAAAGCATACATTTTGGAGAAGCTACCGGTATAGTTGCTACTCGAGGATGAAGCTCCCATAATGATGTTATCAGCCGACGTAGAAGAAGCTAATAGCCATAGAAATAGAAATATGGTAAACGGAATAAGACATGTTTTTATCATGATGGTGATTTTCTTTAAGGACGTTCTCTTCAGTTTCTAATTTTTCTTTTCAAAGGAATCAAAGATGAGGATTAATCATTGTATTTCATATATTGAGGTTACTAAATTGTTACCATTAGAATATTGGTATTTATACATTTTTTGTCCCGGCTTGTTAGGGAATAACAAAAATAAGAGAAAGGGAAACCTTGAATTCAGCGAATACCAAGGGTTGCTTGACAAAGTGGTGATGGTGAAAAATCATGCATGAATTTAATTTATCTTTTACTCAATATCATTTGAGAACCTACGATATTGTCTCATATTCGGCCACTCAAAACTGTTTTCATTCGAGCAAATAATAATTTATTGTCATCAAAATCAGATAATATTAATTTATTTGTTGCCTAGATGTATGTTATAATTATTCATTTCCTTAATTCAATTTACGTCCACATATACATCCTGAATTTATAGTCATTTACGATATAAAGTATTTTCATTTAACTAAATCTTAAGATCCATTTGGTTGATAGGTAGCTGATCGGACATTTAGAGGTTCTTCTTTTAACGAGACCATGAGCACTTAATTGCTTTTTTATTTCTTTTGACATATAGTTGAGTGAAAAGTTGACATTCATGTTATTTCCATGTTTATATTTGTGTTTTTGATTAGTTTTGAGTGTTTGTTACTCTAGAAATTACACACTTTTGGTGTAATAGTTTAGTTTGTAAAATGTTTGTAAAATTGTTTAGATTAGGTTGATTCTGAGCTCAAACAGGTCCAAGACCACTCTAGGGACCATCGGTGAACATCACAAGTGGAAGGAAGGTGCAAAAATTCCAAGAAAAAATGAAGATCCTGATTTTTGGTGTTGTACCCGGTCGAGTATGCCCTATACCCGATCGGGTAAGTTGCTGAAAAATCAAATCGGATAAATCTGCGAACAAGGCAACGTGCAGGGAAGATTTTAACCACGATCGAGTGTCTATACCCGATCGGGTAGCCGACATACCCGATCGGGTATGTCCATATTTTTCCAGCTTCCGCGAAGCAACTGAAGGCCCGGTCGAGTACCCTATATACCCGATCGGGTACACGACCCTGCAGGCCTAAAAAGCCTATAAATACACCCCATTTCCTCCACAATAAAGCACCAATTCCTATATACTTCTAAGCTCAGTCTAGATAAGTTCTTTCTTTATATTTTTATAGCATGTTTAGTCTCCAAATGAGGAGCTAAACTCTTCCATCTTGGTTTTGCTCCTTTGAAGCTTAATGAATTTGTAAGTTGTGAGTTATTATCTTTAATCTTCTTCCTTGAATATTAATTCTTTCTTTAAATACTATTTCTATATCAATGTTGGGGAGTGTTACTAAGATGACAATTAGTTAACATCTTGACATTAGTTATAGTAAAAGTTATTTCTTCCTCTACGTTAATATCGGGGAGTGTTACTAAGATGACAATTAGTTAACATCTTGATATTAACTATAGTAGGATTCATCTTCTTTAATATTCTTTCTTGAGTATTAATTAATTCCTATTCATATTTCATATTAATATTTTGAACATTACTTAAAGGATCAACTAGTTTTGTTTCATATATTAATTAATTCTAGAATCGGTCGATTAATACGCTTGTTATTAATTCGGTCCTTTCACGGTAGTAAACTTGGATTATTAATGCATGCATCTCATGGTCAATAATCTAAGGGGAATTAATTACATTGATTAACCAACAAACCGCTTGTGTTAAGGTTATCAATCTCAATCATTTTCATCTTAAGTTTATTGCTACTATCAAGTTAATATACGGCGCTTGTTCTATATTGACTCGATAGTAAGTTTTATTAATGAACGCATCTCGTTATTAATAACTACACTCGATGAACTGGATATACTCCTCGATTGAGTATTCGAGAGGAAGATATTTAAAGATATAACCGGGATCGACGAACATTTCATTAAGCAGATAAAAGCAAAGCCAAGTCTCCTTCTCATTAATTAAACCACATAACTCGTTCATCTTCGTGCTTAAATATAATTTAAGTTCATCAACCAATCATAAAAAAAACCCCTTCGTTACTTATTTCTTATTCTATAAAAAGAGAAGTGTTCCTTTCCCCGTGGATACGATTCTTACTACACTATACTACGTATTAGTGTCGTATTGTATTATTATTTTGATTGCACATCACGACAAAGTGGACGTCAAAAGTTTATGAAAATAAAATTTAAAATATGGATGAAAATGTGACCACCATTTTTCATATAAATATAAGACGTTCAATTATTTATAAAATGATAATTATAACTAGGGAAAAAGGTCAGATAGGCCTCGTACTTACATAAAAAGGTCAAATAAGCCTTTATATAGGAGGCTCTGTCCGACCGTCGCTATTTGGGGCAGTTCCCGTTAGAAGTTTTTGATGATTTTTTTAGCATCTTATTCATTAAGTCTAGTTTACTCATACCAAATTTCAGCTAAAACTTCAATCGGGAAGGCATTCAAATGAATTCCTGAAGATAACTGCGCTTTTAACTGTGCAGTGTTAAAAGGTTAAAAGGTTAACTTACGCACTTGGCATCGACGTGGCAAATTTTACATTTTCATTTTCTTTCCTTTTCCCCCTTTTCTATGTCCCTTCTCTTCCCTCGGATGTCTTCTTCCGCCCAAGCGGCCAAGCCCCATCGCTGCAACATTCTTTCATTTTCTTTAATTCTTTATTCCCTATTTCTTTTTTCTTGCTTCCACCCTGTCCCTATCCAATCAAAAGAAACTTTCCATTCAGTATCTTCAGAACTTCAGCGAGGAGGACGAGGGCTGCAAGCGACGGTGTGGGGCTGAAGTTGCTGCGATGTCGCCGGAAAACGGAGGTACGAAAGCTGCGAAATCGCCGGAGGTTGTCGTGGGCCTTTTCCCGCCGGAGGTTGATGAATTGTCTCCGTAATCATCCGCCACCGCCCACAGCCCCACTCCGTCGTCCATAGAGAAAGGAAATGACCAGTGTTGTGTGTTGGGCGCGTTTGCAGAATAAATGGATGGGAAAGAGGTCATGTGTCCAGCTGGTTCACTTGGTTGTTGGTTGAAGAAGAAAGACAATGAGAGAAAAGAGAGAAAGAGGGATGAAGAAAGAAAAAAGAAATAAAAAAAATATGTCTCATCAGTCCCAAGTCAACAATGACCGGTGAAATTTTTGGCCAAACGGTTAAAAATGAAAATTAAATGTTTTTCTATTGTAGGAGGATTCAATTGAGTGATTTTATAGTATAAGGACTCAATTGTCTTTTTCGATATAGTACAGGGGCTCATTTGATAGTTTTCCTATATTTCTTTATCCCCAAATTAACTTCTTGCTTTCACTCTTGGATAGGGATGTTCATGCATGAGATTCACACTTCGTATTTTGGTTATACTAAATTTTTCAAAGACCTTTATGAATAGTCTTTATGAATAGTATATACTCCGTATGTGATTATTCATTTTGTATAGCATATTTTTGATGAGGGACATATTGGGAAAATCCATAAGAGTTATTTTTCCTAAATATTCTAGGTAATTTAATAGAACGAGCATGTGTGAAAGAGTTCAATACTCCAGTAATTAATGTTCGTTACTACATTTATGTCGAGTAAATCATATCTGAGTAATTTGAGAGAGTTTAATAGAACGAGTATGTATGAAAGAGTTTAAACTTGTCTTGAGTAAATCACACTCGTTCTAATTGAATAGAACGAGCGTGTATGAAAGAGTATTTAAAAGATTGAGTATGTATATTTTTCTTACACCCGGTGTAGAGCATCTAATTTGGTGGGGTAAATGCCGAGGAACACTTAGCAAATACTATTATTAAAGTAAAGAGACAACCGAATCCACTAGAAAATACTTGGCCAAATAATATGCATGTAGGTCACTTAGCTGCTCGCAAAGTGTGTCTAAAGATAACCTTCCCTCTCATGTTTTTTTGCATTTCTTCTAAAACATTCTTCCAGCAGTCCTCATACAAGTTATCATGTAAGAGGGATACAACTCTCTGAAAATCCGTTTCCAGCTCAAACTCGGAGAAACCTTTGCCAAAGAACAATTCATCACATTTGCACAAGCTTTGATATATATCAAGCTCTCAACGTTAAGAAAGAGTGAGTATGTATTATTTCACATGTTCATTAGTGCACTTGTCTTTAGAGTTTAGTATTAATGTTCATTATGACACTTCTCAATTCATCATACATGTTCTCAATGTTTTGGAAAATGTGACAATTAGTTTTCATATAAATATGTCTCGTTCAATTATTTATAAAAAATGATAATTACTGTTTTCTTTTTACTTAGAACAAGTGCTTTTAATTTACTTAAATACATGTTCTCAATTAATAAAAGAGTTACTTTTCCGGCCTTTTGACCTGGATATTACTAAAATTAGGATAAAAGAAAAAAAGTGAAACGTTTTTAAAAATTCCAAAATTGTGACCAACATGAAATTAGCCCCTACAATCCAAAGTGACTCCAGTCAAAGTGACTCCGGCCAAGTGTCTGTCCACAAACCACAATGACTTCCCCACCGCCACAGTGACTGCCTCACCGCCACAGTGACTGACCCGCCGGCCACAGTGACTACCCGCTCACGGTGACACTCCTTCTTCGTCCATAGTGACAGCAGCCAAAGTTACTCCGATCACAGTGACTCACCCGGTCACAGTGACTCCCGCCAAAGTGAGTCCGGTCACAGTGGCTCGTGCCAAGGCAACTCCTTCCACAATGACTCCACCGGCAACCACCGCCGACGGCCAAAATGACACAAAATTACTCCAGACTCTGCCCTCTAGTCAGTTACCACCACCTTCCCCGCCGGTGACCACAACACCCAGTCCCTGCCCCACCGCCACTTTCCCTGATCTGCCACCATCCATACACACCAGATTCCTATCCCCACACCCGATCCCCAGCCCCCCTCCACTGCTCCACCAGCCTACAGCATCTCACCCCTACCCCACCAGCCCACGACAGCCTACCCCAGCACCACGCCACCACCAGCCGACCACCACTCCCAATAACTCGACCTGCCCGGTTTTGACCCTCCTCACCGGCCAGCCTTCACAAAATCGTCGCCAGATCTGAACCAGATCTGAACGAGGAGGTCGATGACTGGTGAGGCGGCGATGAAGACCGGTGAGATATGAAGCGGCGACAGAAACTGACGAGGGCTGAAGCGGAGACGGCGGATCCATGGAGTGGATACGGCGGACCCCTGAAGCGGCGATGGCGGCACTACTCGAGCCCTGGAGCGCCGATGGAAGCACTCCTCCAGCGATGGCGGCGCCGAGATTCGTCGGAGGCGATGGCGGCGGCGAGGTTCGTCGGAGGCGATGGCGGTGGCGAGATTCGTCAGAGGTGATGACAGCGACTGGGAGGTCTTCTCCATTCATGTGGTCCTTTGATCCAGCGCATACGTAAGGAAGGCCTCGGTCACTCGCGAACAACTGAAATGTGAAGGAGCCCATATGGGCCAGGTCATATTTCTGGGAAAAGCGAAAGTTCTTATTTTTTTGGAAATCAAAAGCCGAATAGTTATGTTTGTGCCATTTTTTCTACTTTTCCTAAATACTACTCCGTAGTGTTTAGGAAAATGTGAACATAATTACTATTACTATCAAAATATTAATAGAACATTTAAATACACGTGAATTTAAATCAGGGTAAATTGAATTTGCTAATCTCAATTTTCATTGATTATCTCAGAATAGTCTCATCTAACTTTCATTTGAAAATATTTCTTGTTTATTTCAACCTCATTTTTTTTTGTTGTTATTCCATGACTGGTTGATGATCGATGTTCCAATTTTTTTCTTTTACTTTGCAAAACTTTAAACAAAAATCTCACATTGGGTCGATTTTTTCAAAATAATCCAATGTATCACGTTTTATTCTCTCGAATCTAAAATAAAATGTGTTGATTTACATGAACTAAAAACATATTTAAGTCTAAAACAAAATGCATCAATAAAATAATTGAAATCATCGACTTTGTAATTAGTTTTTATTCCTTTTTGTTCCTAAATGATCTCAGCAAAATTTAAAACAAGCAGTAAACAAATGTAATTTAAAATAGTAACAACATGTTAAACATTAAAGAAAGAAGATGGGTAAGGGTAAGAGTCGAAAACGGTGGAGCTAGTCACTATAAAAAGTTTACCCATACCTTAGTTTTAACCATCACTTCCAGTCTAGCTGATTGTGAGGTTACCCCTGCATAGGAGAGGTCTCGTGTTCGAGTCCCACTAGCACCAGTGGAACTATGCTCCCCCAAAAAACCCTTCAGGTGGTAGGGCCAAGCGGTGTATACTAACCCGTAGGGCCAAGCCAAAGTTGGGTTTCTGGGGTAAGGGGCCGTGAAAGCGGTGGAGCTAGTCACTATAAAAAGTTTACCCATACCTTAGTTTTGTTACCGGTGGACGTAGCTCAACTGGTAGCGAGGGAGTGCCACAAGGGTTAGGTCCCGGGTTCGAATCTCGGCAACCGCGATGAGAGGTTACTATGCGAAAAATGCATAGGGTCTCTGCAAGTACCGGGGACGAAGCCCTACTCTCTATCTATCATATTGTGATTATAGTCCAATTTAGATCCTCTCATCGTGTCGTCCGGTCGGTGTTGGGGGGCCCTCAGGGAGGGAGTGTCATCCTTTTTTTCCCACATGCTAGCAAAGTAGCAAGGACCAATGAAATAAAATTCTACGTATTATTACTTTTATAACCTTCAGTTTACAATTATCTCATTACAATTTATAGTTACCCAACCCGTCGTCTAGTTACAGTTATCCGATCCATCCAATTACAGTTATCCGATCCGTGCAGTTACAATTACACGACCCGTCCAGTTACAATTACATGACCCATCGAGTTACAGTTACTCAACCCGTCCAGTTACAGTAATATGACCCGTCTAGTTACAATTACCTGACTCGTCCAGTTACGGTTACCCGATCCGTCCAGTTACAGTTATCCAACCCATTCAGTTATAGTTACCCGACCCGTCCAATTACAGTTACCCGACCCGTCAAGTTACAGTTACCCGAACCGTCCAGTTAGTTACTCGACCTGTCCAGTTACGGTTACCCGATCCGTCTAGTCACGATTACCCGGTTCGATTTTGACTATCGCAAAGCGCTAGCCACCCCCGCCGGTAACCATGGAGGCCAGCTATCACAGCCACCGCCGACCACCACCACCATCGCAGGCCACCGCCACCACTGTTGGCAACCGTCAGTGACCACCGCTCCACTCTGACTCGACTCCCACTACTAGAAAAATGCCCTACAGTGACACCAAAGTAGTGTCACTGAAAGTTTCTATGACACTAAAAAAGTGTCGATGAAAGTGGGATCTAGTGACACTTTTTAAGTGTCACTACAAGTGTCACAAAATTGTGACACTATAGTATCACTAGTTAGTGATACATAGGTAACATAACTATTTGGCGACACTTTTACATCACATATTCTAGTGACACCGCGGTATCACATAATAATGTTTTCCATTCAAGCAACACCATACTTTAGTGACACTTTGATATCACTTTGTTTTGCACTATTTCAGCATTCCATTTCATGATATTTTATCAGAAAGTGTCACTATAAAAGTGTCACTGTAAGGCATTTTTCTAGTAGTGGATCCCCAGCTCCAACCCCCTCCCTTGCCCCATCTTCGTCACGCCACTGCCACCCCGGTCAGTCAACCGGCGCTGCTAGTGACGATGTTGACCACCATAGTTAGGGTTGGTTTGAAACTCCTTTTAAAAAAAGCACTTCTCATCTTTTGGCTTTAAAAAAGCACTTATTTTCCCAAACACTACAACTTTTATTTTTCTCGGCTTTCGCGTCAAAAATGCTTTTACTTTTTCTATTACACAAAAGCATTTATTTTACCAAACACTAACCACTTTTACTTTTCAAAATCACTTTTTTTCTCAAACACTATCAACTTTTATTTAATCACTTCTCCCCATTTCATTAAAAAAGCACTTTTTTAAAAGCAGAAGCTGTTGCAAACAGACCCTTAATCGACTTGTCTGGTGACCTTCCATCTCTCATATCTGTTTTCGTCCGCCAAAATCTGGATACCTAGCCGCCTCTTTCGGTGACCTCCCTCTCTCAGATCTGATTTTGTCCGCCCATATTCTGCGGCCCTCGTTTCTGATTTGAAGAAGGTCAAACGCTCAAATCAAATGAGCGACAGAGCCTATCCGAGACTTCATCTGAGCAACAGAGTCCAACCATGAAGAAGAAACCACGTGCAACGGACTTCGACGCGGAGTTGAGGAAGAAGACGACGGATTTGTCATACTCGACGCCCCTTCGCGCTCGGAATCTCCCCGGTCATTTGAGCTCAGTGGTGCCATCCCTGCGGCCAAACAGAAATAGAAGAAACAGAAAAATGATTGGGGATGGTGTCGATGGGAGAGATGAGCCGCCGCCGCCGGTTAGAAGAGACGAGCCGCCGGTGAGAGGAGATGAGCTGCGCAGGTGGAAAGATATGAGCCAAGCAGGGAGACGTTGCACTGCTATATGGCTCAAGGACATTCCTGTATGTCCAAATAATGTTTAGTATGGAGTAGTATCTTTTAATTTTTGTCTACTTTAAATTTGGTCCTATTTTTGTTAGCCTAAAAGTCCATAGTATTATTTAATTAAGTCTTTATTTTTTTTTTAATACTTGTATTACAGAAATAAAATTTATTTAAAAAAATAAGTTACTATTAATATAGAGTCCTTGTGCCATGGTTTCTTAAGTGTTAAAAATCGAAAATAAGCGATTTAATTAAATTACTATTATAGCATTACACTTAAAATGTTACAGCCTCCAGTTTTATAAAATTCATCTCACTTATCATTTTCGGATGCCCAATTAAAATTCTCTTCATTTCTCATTTTGAATAATTTTGTGTTGCTAATATTCATTTATCGTTTTCTTACAATCTTACTATTACTTAATCACAACTGCATACATTTCAAATTTATTTCTATTTTCTTAAACTCCGATCAAAGTTAAACTCGGATGAATTTTATGGGGCGGAGGTAGTTTAGTTTTTTATCACTATTTATTTTATTCACTGTTTTATTATTATTTTATAAATAAATAAAATTATTAGGGGCGTCCTAAATGATTTTACTTTTAATTTGGATAGCTGTAAACAACTTGCAGGACTGATGAATAATCGTACTTGAACACCAAGCAAAGAGTCCATCGGAAGAAAATCAGTTGGGAGATTCCAAATCCTAGTGTAATAAATTAAATAACTAACTAGTTTCCCAATCCTAGTGTAGTAATTAACTAGTTTGAAATTAAATTAATTGTGCTTTGGTTTTTGGAAACTAAAATACTTGGAGAATAAGTCGGACTAGAATCGAAAAATACGGAAATTAGAAAGAAACCCTATGCAAGGATTCTCATTTCCAAAACCTATATATATTTCATTGCTATTTCTCCATCTCTTCACATCAATTCTTCGCAGTCACAAATAGAAGAGTAGAGAAGTGATTAGTTGAAGTTTAGTATTGTAGCTTAATTCAACTATTGATCGTCGATCATGGTGGGAAAGATGATATTGTCGCCACTTCCAGGCGGAGGGTACGTTCAGCTGCGGCAGGGCTATTCCAATTTGGACCTCCTCGCCGCCGTCTGTGGGGCTGTTTTGGACCAGATGGAGAAAAACCCAAACAGTAATTCTTCTTCTTCTTCCTCCTCTCCTAAATCAGTATTTATCCCGAGGAGGAAGAGGAGCCGTCCTAGTAAAAGTAGAAGTGGGGTTATTACGGCAGCCTCCGCCTTGAAATGTGTCGTCTCCGGCTTCAAAACATTGTCAATCGGAGGAGGACCCGGCAATCAGAAGAAAAGGGCGGCCAAGAAAATCAAGAAGCGGGTCGTCGCCGACGACAACCAGCAGCCGGCGGCGGAGGCAGGGCCCATGCCGGGGAGATTCAGGGACAGGATCCGTCAAATTGCGGGGCCCGGCGCGGAGATAGCGGAGGAGATGCTGCTGATCGAAAAGGAGATAACGGCGACCGATTTGAACCCCAACGAAGGCCGGCTGGCCCTCCCTTTGAACCAATTGAGGCGGACGGATTTCATGACGGCGGAAGAGGAGCAGCGGCTGGCCACGCGCCGTAACAATGGCAAGAATGTGGGGTCGCTCGACGTGGCGCTGATCGCGGCCGTCGACGGTGAAATCGTAAAGCGGGAAGTTGACTTCCGGAGATGGGAGATGCGGACAAGCAGCATGTTAATGGTGACCGGCAAGTGGAACAAAATTAAGGGCAGCCTTGGACTCGCCGTAGGTACAAAGGTCCAAATATGGTCCGTCCGAGTTGACGGCAAATTGTGGTTATCGCTTGTTGTCTTGTAGATCCATCCATGCCTACATCTCCGGGTTTGGCCCGACCCGGCACGGCCGGTGCCCTAATCACTTAATTATTAGTTAGTAATTACAACTTAACACGGTCTCTATCTGCGGCATTGGCTTATATACTGCGGGCCTAGCTTTGGGCATGAAGCAAATGCTATAACTTTTATGTATTTTACGTTCAAGAAAATTATTCATTGATTTTCTATATATTATGATGATATCTTTTGATCGACAACTGATCTTTCCGTTCATGCCTCTATATACATTCTTTAGTTGTTATTGATCCTTATATTATCTGTGTTTGAGAGATTCATATTGGTAGTTAAAAATTACAGTACATAATTGTTGATGTTTTTTGAAACGTTGTAGCCAGTGTATGTTATGTTTGTGAAACTGAAATTGGTAGTTCAATAGTTCATATATACGAAGTACTATCGTACATGATACATCCAAATATACAATTGTTGTTTCATTTCTATTCACTCCTCATTACTTTGGTTGCCATCCTCTCGATTAGTTATATATTTTGCTTGACTTGAACGTACTCTGGTTAGTTCAATTCACTTTTCGTGCCACTACCATTCTACCAATTCACTTGAAATACGATATTAATTAGAAAATTCCGGCCATATATATACTGGTAGTAGTAAAACTTTCTCTGGACACATATGGTTAAGCCAAAGCATGGCATAAATATGTTCCATCCATGCGTACACTCCCGGGCCTGGCAAATACTATCCTCCGTTCTTTAATTCTTGCAACAGTTTGACTTTCACAGTTTCACGTTTGCCGATGCACAACTTTGACCGTAATTATATTTAATTATATATTAGTAAACATTATAAAAAGTTGATATTTTATTTGGAAGTTGACATTGATAGAATTCAATAACACTTTATACGTAATAATTTGATTAAATATTAGTAGAAAATTGTGGTCAAATAAAGTAAGGTATGTGAATAGTGCAAAAAACACAATGTTGCAAAAATTAAAGAACGGATGAAGTACATATTAATTCTCTACTATTGAATTTTCACATTTCGAAAATAATTTTGTATTAAAAAATATCATTGATCCGTTGATTGTCATTAACTAAGAAAAGTATTAATTGCGTATTAAATTATATGTATCTTTTGATCATTCTTTTCTGCTGATGCTTTATTCTATTAGTATTTTACGTTCCTTAGTTATACTTCCTCCGTTCTTTTTTAGTTGCAACGGTCAACATTTCACACTTATCAACGCACATCTTTGACCGTAATTATATCTTAATCCCTATCAGTAAAAAATATTTAAAAATTAGATTTTGAAAAATTGTAATGAGATGAATTGAACAATATAATTTTAAAAAAAAATCATAAAATAATAATATAAAATGTAATCAAAGTAGAACATGTGAATAATGTAAAATTCAACATGTTGCGATTAAAAAAGACGGAGGATAGTACATAGTATGTACTCTCTATATGTTACTAGTATGTACGTATGTTAGTGAAATTGAAATTGGTAGTTCATTGTTCATGCAATCCCCTTTCTTTGTATTCTAGTTAATTAATTTAATTCACTTTTCGTGCCACTACCCATTAACATGAAATACGATACTAGAAAATTCCATATGTATGCATAAACTCGTAAAATCTTCTCTTAACACATGCATAAATAGTTAAGCCATGCCAAAGCATTAAAATATTCGATATTTAATTCCCTCCGCCACATATTATTTCAACGAAGGTGTTGCAGTTTTTAAGAAAAGTAGAATTATGATCGACTTAAGTGATTGATAATGAATTCATGAAGTGAAAATAAAGTAATAATGAATTAGAAGCTCACAAATACCAAAATGGTATGAGACAAATTTAGCGGGATGAAAAAAGAAAGATGAGATGATTAGAGTGGGATGTACGGTATTATTTTTGAAATGAGACCTATAAGCTAATCTATTTTTTGAAAAGGTACATTCGTTTATGTAAAGTAACATGACCACAAACACCATTAAGCATCTGATCTGTTGGCTGTTGCTCACACACTGCTAACGGAGAAAACTATATAAATGCCGTCCATAACTTTTATCATGCATGCAACAACGTAACTAGCATCTACGTGAATAGTTTATTCACGCTAAACATTGAGTAGAGTAATTACTGTCAAACTTGAAAAATACTACAAGTATTATGTTTAAATTAAGTCTGATGCTACGAAAACATTACAATAATTGCTCATGTTTAGGAAATAAAAACATGAGTCTTATTTTGAAATACACACACATTACTTTTACTTCTATTTAGTGCAATTTCCCGTAGTTATGTGGAAACTCTTTGAAGTTATTAATTGTACTTATGGTCATTCTTTCCTAGTCCGCTCATGCTTTAATTTTATTCTCTTACAACTATACTATTCCATATTTAATTTGTTCAATTCTATATATATATATATGTTTGTACGTGAAACTGAAATTAGCAGTTAAAAGTTTTGTGGTTTACAATTTTTAAAGTAGTAAACAATCTGCAGGTACGTCCACATTGCGTAATAATATCGTTCAGAAACTGCTCAATAATAATTTAGAGTGTAGCCTTTAGTAAAATTTGATACGTAGTAATAATTTTAAAATTCATAGTACTACGTAATATATGAAGTGTATATGTATATGTGTGTACCAAATTGCCCTATATAACTAAAGCATAACGAATATGCCAAAATAAGAGTGGATATATTTGATTCCGATCCCATTTTGAGACTCATAATATTCTATTTAGAGTTTTCCACATTGTGTAATAATATCTCAATTGAACTTTTGTTCAGGGATTGGAGTATAATTATGGCATTTTTTGGACAATAATGGTTTCTTCCGTCAATAGAGATGACATTTTTACTACTCCATCTGTATCACAGTAAGAGAGTGTTTACGGTTGCTTCTACTCTTACAAAGTGATTTTTGAAAGTAATTTTTGAGAAAATGCTTAATAGTAAAAGTTTATAGTGTTTGAGAAAAAAAATGATTGTGAAAAAGTAAAAGTTGATAATGTTTGGTAAAAAAGCTAAGTGATTTGTGTGTAACAAAAATAGTGAAAAGTAGTTTAAAGCACTCTTCCATTTGCTCCAAACTTTTAACTTTTAAGTGCTTAATTTAAGCAGAACCTGTCACTTGATTACTTCATAAGTAGAATCTGCCATGTTTTCATGTTTCCTAAATCAACAATCTTTAATCATTTTAGTTTGTATTACATTTCTGATAGGTTACACATTTTTTTTATAAATAGTAATGTGGATTAGTTTCGCTGTTAACAAATGTACTCTTTAACTAAATGAAATTTCCTCTACAATTTAGATTCATGAAATATATATCTTTACATAGGGTTTCAAATATAATCCCAAAATAGCATGAAGAACTACAAAACAAAGTAAAGATATGTATTGAGTATCTTTACTTGGACGTTATTGTTTATAAATAATGCAGTTTGTCTTTACTTGGCTTCTGTCTTTAAGCTAAGGATGATTTCTTTTGGAAATAATTACATAAATATGACCAAAATAAAGATGGTTTACAAAAGTATGATTCATTACTAGAGTAGTAATGAAATCATAGTAATTCATGTTCAAGTTTTGAATTTTATTTACCACAGCACTACGTTGTTGTAATGAATAGTCATATATATGTAAATAAGTTTTACTTTAGTAATATTCTCGTAAAAACCCCTTTCTTTTGGACTGAAATTTGTTGGTCTAGTCTGGTCTGGTCTGTTTAAGTTTCATCTGGTCTGGTCTCAACTGGTCTGGTCTGGTAAACGTCTGGTCTCTGTTTATTTTATAACTACGGAAGTCTGATCTGGTCTGGTCTGGTCTGATCTGGTCTGGTCTGGTCTGGTCTGGTCTAGTCTGGTCTGATCTGGTCTGGTCTGGTCTGAGACTGAAAACAGTCCAAAAGAAAACATCCTAAAGGCTGGTTTGCAATCACTTTAAAAAAAGCACTTCTCAGCTTTTGGCTTAAAAAAGCACTTATTTACCAAACACTACCAATTTTTTATTTTTCTCGGCTTTCGTGTCAAAAGTGCTTTTCCACTTTTTATACACCAAAAGCACTTATTTTACCAAACACTACCAACTTTTACTTTTCAAAATCACTTTTTTCTCAAACACTATCAACTTTTATAAATAATCACTTTTTCCAAATCACTCCAAAAGTGCTTTTTTTAAAGCAGAAGCTGTTGCAAACACTCCCTAAGTCTGGTCTGGGATTCATTTGAACTAATGTGATTATTATAAATATATGTTTTTATTTCCAGAGATCATGTTGTATTGAAGAACAAATAGGACTACTTGAAGTTAAAAATGTCAAAGAGTGAATGAATTAGAAGAAAGTTTAAGTTTGTTCAGTCTATTAGTTAACTTAAACTCTGCTTTTCTGCTTGATCTATAGACTACATCTCAATTTATGCTATCCATATTTTGATAGTTTATTCTTCTAATAGTTTAATAGACTTCTAACTTCATCCACAATCGGCCCAAACTGAAAATAACCTCCTGACCTCCCTCCCCTTTAGAACAGATGAAACAACCTATGTTGTAGATTCCCTTTCACATTGTCATCACCTACAATCTAAACTACTCCCTATGTTGTAGATTCCCTTTCACATTGTCATCACCTACATGCCTATAACAATCTAAACTATGTTTTAGTTTCCCTTTCACATTATCATCATTAGTCATTTGCTTATTCATTTCTTAAACTGAAATAAATAAGGAAACTTTTAAAAGTACAACTCTTTCTTACTTCTTTAATCGTAGTTAGTAAATGCATCATTGCTCTTTGCTTATTCTTATTTCTTTTAGTATTCGAATGCATAATACAATATTTTAAAATTGACAGAGTCATGCACAATCATTAAGTTTTAATAATCTAAATTAAGTTTTAGATCTCTTTTACACTCTTAATGTCACGCCCCGGACCTACCCGGACACGTCAACAACCCGCCGTACAGTACGAATAGTCAACCGCAGTCCAACTCGTCCATACTATACAAGGCGTCTTGAATACCATTCACAATAGTACATCCATAAACAATCATAATGTAAAACAATTAATTAAAGCAGCGGAAACATTGATATAATATCCGAGCCACACGTGGCAAACACGGGCATACAAGCCCCAAATAAATATTCAAAATAATATCCATGAGCATTATTTAGGTTGTTTTCAAAACAGAAACGGAAGAAGCACGAACCACGTCTTCTTCCCTTGATCTCCCCGAAGCAACGGGTGGCAGCAGCAACTCTTCAAGTTCTACCTGAAACTGTGAGGTGGCCTCCCCCGTGAAGGGGAGGTCAGTACTTGGAAGCATTTGACAAGTACAATGACAACTATACTAAGTATAATCAATGTTTCAATTTCTTAAGACCCTCAAATAGAGTGATATTATATCGTAGGCCGTAACCCCCGGTTACCCTGTTTTATGAATATACTTACTTTATATAACGTCAAGTAGTCGGCCCGTGGGCCCATATTCATTTAGAATTTACCATTTTCACTTTCCGTGACCATGAGTCACGACAACCCCATAGGGTTCCCTCGAGTCCCGATTGTATAGCAAGGGCTCGGCCCAACTACATTTCTATACAATCCTTTAACTCAATTTAATATATCTAAATTTGTATGGCAAGGGCTCGGCCCAACTACGTTTCCATACCAACCATAACTTCATGGCAAGGGCTCGGCCCAACTACGTTTCCATGAAGATCACAATGCATGGCGAGGGCTCGGCCCAACTATGTTTCCATGCTAGTCACATTACATGGCAAGGGCTCGGCCCAACTACATTTCCATGTAATCCTAGAGTCCGACTCTAATTTATTTCCATGGCTCAATTCTCAAGCAAATCCTATGCCTAGAATCAATTCACTTGGATAGCCTTTTGGCCTACCCCTAACACACCGTAGTGTTCATACAATTTGACCTTAAAGCATCTCTTAAGACTACTTAAGGCATATCTATTCACAATCCTATCTCTTAGGATTAATTCCATCATTTATTTATATAAATCTCCCGACTAGTATTTCGATACTAGTCGAATAACCTTAGAACAACCAAGTTCTAAGTTCATAGCCAAATGGTTTATCTCAATTGATTTTCCAATCCAAATATGATTTAATCCCAATATCAAAAATATCACTTTTATCCATTCATGAATTTCATACATGAAGTAAAAGTATATTTTATCACAATTTTCATAGTTAATTCCATTACCATACCATTTCTTTCATATCACATAATCATACACAATTTCTTACAATTTGTATATTATGCTCTTTCCTTATAGACAATAGTCTTCTCATTCTTAGGCATTATTAATCATAATAATCCTTAAAAACATATTTAATTACCTTAGGTAATCTCGTGAAATTAACCCAAAGATTATAAGCAATATAGTCAGCCATCCTCACCTTATGAAGTGCTGAAATAGTTGCCTTTGTTAAGCCCTTCGATCAATCCCCGTTCTAAACCGATTGGAGATGAAAATTCTGGACAGCAGCCAAAAGCCGGGCGGCTTTCACAAAAGCCGGGCGGCTTTCGTGGTCTGCAGCTACGAACAGCCTCCTTCAAGTGGCGGTTTCCGATGGTTTTGGCTCCTATTGATTCCCCAACTCTTCTAAGTTAATTACCACCATTTTATATCAATATTATACACTTTTAAACGTGTATAAACTCATGTTTAATCCATCATATGATTTCTTAAAAATCATACAATAAAATACTAGTTAGGAGCTTGATTGTTGAGTTCTTACCTCAAACACCACTCTTCTCTTCTTGGATTTTCTTTGTTGGTGCTTCCTTCAAGCTGGAGCTTTGTGAGAGTTTCTCCCCTGAGCTCTCCCTCCTCTTGGATGGTTCGTATGGCTCAAAATGAGAGGAGAGGATATCTATCCTCAACCAAATCACTCCCAAGACAAGTCCAACATGGGGTGTGTGGACTTTGTCTCCATGATGCTCCCCTCCTTCTTTTGCACGCACAAGTCAAAATGTGTGGCCCCTCCTCCCTCATTATTTGAGTCAAATTAGGGTGTAGGATACCCCAAGTGGGTGTAGGAAGTCCCGCCCAATTATTCCTGCTATTTCTGGCCGGCCGGGTCAAAATAGCGCTCGGGTTGTCCAACTATTTTTATCAACTTCGGTTGGCATTTTATTTGGCTCCTATAATTATTATGATAACCCAACTAAATATTTGGTAGCCCATTCTCATATAGTGGTCCCAATATATAATTTAATTAATCACGCATTAATTAAATATACCAATCAATTACACGAATTTTATTCGCTAGAAAAATCACATACGTATCGTCTTTCAATTTCAAGTACATACGGGCGCGGTGTCACACTTAAGCTTTAAACTAACGAGATATATGTCATTATAAGGCAGCCTAAATTATACTACATCCGTCCTGTTGGAAGGTTCACATAGCAAAACGGCACGATTATTTAGACAATAATTAAATAAAGTAATTCGAATATATTTTGTGAAATAATTTTAATAGGTATATATTATAATGTAGTTAGTATTGATAACTGTGATGTTATAAATATATTATTTTTAATATTTAATGATTAATTTATCACTTAAGATTGTTAATTGTTTTCTAAAATGGAAATGAGAACCTTTATATAAGATGTCTAAAGAAGGAAAGTGAGAACCTTCTAATGGGACGGAAGGAGTAATTGTTTATAGAACTACTCTTTATAGACCCCACCATCTAGATATAAAGGGTGCATATGGTGCTTATTTTGCTAGAGTTGAAATAGCCATCGTTTCGGTTTTCATTGCTTATATGATATAAAACTCAAATCATATATTTCATGTGTTGTTGCAATTAAAGTTTCATTAAATACTACTACGTATTTGAGGAATGTCCTATGTATTTTTCTCTTTTCTAAAAAATTTAAATAAAAAATATAAATAAGTAGTTCAGAAAAAATTATAAAAAGAGACTGCAATAAATAGGAATACATAAAAATGAAAGAAACTGTTTAGGAAGAAAATCTATAAAACATATGTGGGACCATTTCAAGAAGATTCGTAGAATGTTCGATTTATGATTGAATGATTTGCAAAGAAAATGAAAGGTCTATCAAGCCACCAAAAATCAGCGAAGGAAGAGTATCACTAAAAGATTAAATTATTCCTAAATTACATAAAGTTGAACTATTGTAAAAGTACCCCTATATTAGTTTTTATTTTCCCTAAATTTTTACAATTACTTGTATCCTAAAGAGTGGAGGGGCGAACCTACCCCCAAAACCCCATCAAAACCTTTCGTATAGTGTGATTTTGGCAGCCCAATAGAACCAGTAGCCTTCTGATCAATGGTGAAAAGACGTCGGGAGGAGGCAGATTCCGATGACGGCGCCATAGTCGTTGCCGTTCCAGAGGCGCGGCACCGTACTGTTTATATTGATACCAACCTCGATACTCACCTTGCAGTAATGGTTTCCAGCACCGATACCGTTTCCTATATCAAAAGTAAGTGTTTAGGTACACGGTAGATTGATTAAGAAACTAGCTTATCGTCGCAGTTTATGTTTTTTTTAATCTTTGCGTTTTGTCTAGAATTTGTAGGATTAATTTGGGATTTATTGTTGAATAGAGATGTTCTATTAATTGTGGTGTGAATATTGTGGTTGAAAGAAGACAATCTTTGTCCATGACTCCATGGGGTCGTTTGATTTCTCTTGCGAGTAAAAATGTGCTGATTTGATCTTAAAAATTTCTCATTTTGTGTTTCTGGGATGCAGGGGAGATATTGGTAGAACACTTGGATGCTTTTCCTCATATGGGAGAGATAAAGATTCACTCTGTCCAGGTCTGCTTTTTCCTCATGTTTTTTTACTTTTTAGATTTTCTCTTTCTATCCCTGTGTGTTCTTATTGAAATTTTGATGACAGGTAAAACGGAAAGGCAATTTCTATCACCTACCCGATTCGATGCCTATAGCAACTGTATTTGAAGGCATTAAAAGAGATTGGTTTATTCATGTCATTGGTTCTGTTTCAGTTGATCAGGCCCTGAATGGAGCTTGTAACGACCACATAGGGTCACTTCACACAAAAAGTTATGACCAAAATGTTCCATATGATTCTTCAATAGACTTGCGCATGGACAGTGAACATGTGAAAGATGAGCACTGTAGATATTTGCCCTCTGATACTTGCCGGAGCTCAGCTTATAAGAATATAGTATCAATTGCTCAAGTGAAGGCAGTCAGCAATGGCCTAAAGGATCATAATTCTGGGGATAGCTCAAAGGAAAAACCTGTGACTAAAAGGCGGAAATTGAAACATAAAGGTGGTGATGATGGTTCACAGAAATTCCAGATGTCGGGAAACGAAACGTCAGCAAAGGCCAATGATAGAAAATCAAAACTTTCGTTAATGCCTTCTGATGACACTCAATCTGGGAGAGATGATGTTAAGAGGCCTCAAAAGAAGTCCAAGAAGATCAGGGTGAAGGATCAATTTGAGACTGCGAAAAGTGAAAAGATTATGGCCAATGTGGAAGCAGATGGAGACAAAATGAATGAGAATGATGAGAGGATATCTCGAACCACCAATGAAAGCATTCTGGAAAACAATGAAGCAGATCTTACTAACAAGGGTGGGAGAGATGATGATAAGAGGTCTAGAAAAAAGAAGTCCAAGAAGATCAGGGCGAATGATCAATTTGAGACTAAGAAACGTGAAAAGATGATGGCCAATGTGGATGCAGATGGAGATAAAATGAATGTGAATGATGAAGGGATATCATGGACCAACAATAAAAGCATTCTGGAAAACAATGAAGCAGTTCTTGGTAACAAGGGGGAGACAGATCATGATAAGAGACCTAAGAAAAAGAAGTCCAAGAAAATCAGTGTGAAGGATCCATTTGAGCCAAATACAGGAAATAACGATCAAACACTTGTACCAAAGTTTAGTGAACCTGTGACTGACAATACTGCCAAAATTGAACACTTCAAGCCACACAGTCAAACTTGCCAGACCATTAAAGCATTGGTGGAGAAACCATCTGAAAAACATTTAGATATGCATTCAGCAAGCCACATCTCTCTCGTTCCTGACATGGCAGATTTGAACTCTGAGCAACCAGAAACAGTTCATAAAGCTCAGCTCTCTGATGCCAATGCCACTGAAAAACATGGAAGCCCTGCTGGTAAGAAGAGAAAGTCAAAGAAGTCTCGTACAACTTATCAAGATTCTTTCACTATTGACCCTTCAGATGTATCTTCAGGTCTTCCCACAGTTGACCATTTAACTGATGGATCTAATAACCAAAAACTCTCACATTGCATAGAAATAGAAAATCCGTCAAATAAACAACCTATTGATACTTCTGCTGCAAGCTCTCGTGTGGTAATTGATAAAGACACTGTAAGTGAGGCAGGACTTCTTCGTCCCAATAGCGGATTTAATGAGCAGGATATTCTAACTGGTACTTGTCATCTGGAGCAACCAGAAACAGTCTATAATGCTAAGCTCTGTGATGCCAATGCCACTGAAAAACATGGAAGCCCTCCTGGAACTAAAAAGAAGAGAAAGTCGAAGAAGTCTCTTACGACTAATCAAAATTCTTTCTCTATGGACCCTTCAGATGTTCCTTCAGGTCTTCCCAGTGCTGACCGTTTCACTGATGGATGTGATAACCAGAACCTCTCGCATTGCATGGAAGTAGAAAATCCGTCAAATAAAAAACCTATTGATACTTCTGCAGCAAGCTCTCGTATAAAAATTGATAAAGTCAATGAGAGTGAGGCATGTCATCTTACTGCCAATGACAGATTTAATAAGCAGGATATTCAAACTGGTACTAGTCATCTGGAGCAGCCAGAAACAGTCTATAAAGAAGTCCTAAGAAAAAGGACATCTCAGACCAACAGTGAAAGCATTCTGGAAAACAATGAAGCAGATATTACTAACAAGGGTGTGACAGAACATGATAAGAGGCTTAAGAAAAAGAAGTCAGAGAAGATCAATGTGAAGGATCCACTTGAGCCAAATACAGGAAATACCGATCCCTCGCGTGTACCAACGTTTAGTGAACCTGTGACCGACAATACTGCCAAAGTTGAACACATGAGGCCTCACAGTCAAACTGTCCAGACCATTAAACCATTCGAGGAGGAGCCTTCTGAAAAACATGTAGACATGCAATCAGCAAGCCACAATTCTCTCATTCTTGAAATGGCAGATGTGAACTCTGAGCAACCAGAAACAGTCTATAAAGCTCCACTATCTGATGCCAATGCCACTGAGAAACATGGAAGCCCTGCTGGAAGTAAAAAGAAGAGAAAGTCAAAGAAGTCTCGTACAAATAATCGAGATTCTTCCACTATGGACTCTTCAGATGTTCCTTCCGGTCTTCCCACTGCTGACCATCTCCCTGATGGATCTAATAACCTGAGCATCTTGAATTGCATGGAAGTAGAACTTTCATCAAATAAACAACCAATTGATATTTCTGCTGCAAGCTCTCCTATGGAAATTGATAAAGTCACTGAGAGTGAGGCAGGACATCTTCGTTCCAATAACGGATTAAGTGAGCGGGATATTCAAACTGGTACTAGTCTTCTGGATGCAGAAAATAAAGATAAGAAAGGAAATAGAAAATCTAAAAGGAATAACAATACTGCTGGAGAGAGCCTTGCAATTTCGGCTAAGAGTGATCATGAAGTTTGTGCGGAAAAAATGGTACTTTCAAATGATAAAACGTTGGGAGTTGACCATCCACCGAATGTCGCAGAGGTATCAGGAACAGCCATGGATGATCATATTCCCCAAGTTTCAGTTGCTGATTTAGAGCTTCCAGAAAGTGATGCCAATAGTGGACAAGCGTGCGGAAATCTTGAGGGTAATAGAGAGATGGTGCTACAAGGTGAAGTGAGTTGTACTGAAGATGGTAAAGGTATTAACTTCAGACGTTACTTTGTTCCTAGTTCACAACAGACTAAAGGTGCTTTTGACAAAGTGGAAAAAACAGTGACATTGAGTATGGATACTACCTCAACTGGGGAGAGATCTGCAAATGATACTGTTCCTTCCATTCCAGGAGGCTTGGGGAATACACCAGCTCATGATGAGAATCTGAATGATGAAAACAACCGTAGTAGTGGTTTCACTGAACTTGGAAAGGCAAAATATGACAAACATGAGAAGGTTAAACTTCACTCCAATAAGAAATCCCCAAAAATATCAGAAACTGATATAAATGGAAGCAATACTTTTCACCAGGCTGAAAAGCCAATAGGTAGCAAGACGGGTGATTTTGCTAGCGTGTCTGAAAATAAAATAACTTTGGATGAATCAAGCTCAACACAAATAGGTTCTCAAATGTTTAAAGGATCTATAAAGGATAGCTCACAGCCCCACTCAAATCACCGAAGTTTAGCTAGTCAAAAGGATGCCAGGAAAACCACAGAGGTTAACCCAACACACACTGTTGCTCCTAAGGATAAGATATCACATCATGATTTTAAGAACGAAAATGGGGATGGACATTCTAAATTCCCCACTCAGACTCCATCTAGTGATTCATCATCATCCTCAGTTGATGGAAGTGAATCAAGTCATCATTCAACCAAAAGTGGTATGAACAAATTATATTTTATTTTATTTTATTTTTGGCAAAAAAAATTATTTTTTCATTGCCCTCTTACCGGTTAAGGTGTTGAGATGTGACCTAGAGGTCATGAGTTCAAGTCTTGGGAAGGGCTTATACTCCCTTGTGGTGGGAGGGACCCTTTCCATACGGGATACCCTCGTGCACGGGGCTGTGCTTTATTGCTCCCTTATGAGTACTTTTTTATTGGAGTTCATTTTAATTTTGGGAAATTTGGCATTTCTATCCATGTTTACCACAATGTTTGATAGTGCAACTCATATTTCTTTGACATTGCACCGCAGCCCCCCCTAAGTGCATTGTGTTTGCAACCCATGATTTAACTTAAAAAGAATGTGATGTGAAGCCAAATAGATAAGGTGAAAATACTAATAAAAACATGATTTATTTCTTTCATTTTTTCCATCTTGGTTGTTAGGACTCGATGGTGTCAAAGAGAACAACAGTCATGGGGAGAGTAATTTAAAATCCAGGTATGCTTTCATGTTTTAGTGAGTTCTTGCTGCACTTTATGGGGTGGGGTGGGGTGGAACTTGCTTAATCTACCAAGCCGTATTTATGGTTTGTTACTTTTTTTCATGTAGTTTTTGTCTACTCTCATTTATAATATTTTCGTGGTACCATCCTTTAATTTCACTCAATTAAAACCACATCAATAGTAGCTCTCTGGTGTTTTCAACAGCCTTTCAGGTGTGAAGAACTTATCCATGGATGCGATTTTCAGAAGTTCTAAACGATTTAAGGTGGCCAAGCAGAAAGCTGCTGAACAACTCGAAAGTGATCCTGAAAGCCAGCCTATTTTGGTCCAAAGTGTTAAAGACAACAACAGTATTGGGGAGAGTAATTTAAAATCCAGGTAAACTTTCATATTTTACTGAAATCTTGCTGCACCTAACGAGGTGGGGTGGGGGTGGAACTTGCTTAATGTACTAAGCAGCATTTATGGTTTGTTCGTTTTTTTCAGGTAGTTTTTATCTGTTCTCATTTAGTATGTATAATCTTTTGATAGTATCATCATTCAATTTCACTCAATCAAAACCACACCTATAGTTACTATTTGGTGTTTTCTGCAGCCTTTCAGGTGCACAAAACTCAACCATGCATGTGAATCTGAGAAGGTCTAACCGATTCAAGGTGGCAACTTGAAGTTGACACTCAGAGCCATCCTATTTTAGTCCAGAGTGTTAAAAAAACTTGTAAACAGGCCAAGCAGAAAGCAGCTTAACAAATCCAAGTTGATTCTGAGAGCATGCCTGATTTTGTCCAGATTGTTAAAGAAACTAGTAATTAGTAATGTGTGTATCCCTGGCATGAAAGCCAGCGTTCCTTGAGCCTTGTTACTGACATTAATGTGTTTTTCGTTTAACTTTGGTTAAAATTATACCACAAATGGTTTCCAGGTAATTATTAGTAATTCTCCATTTCTCCCTTTGTGAGATAAAAACATTTCCATGATGGTTCTCTGTCCAAAAATAAAATTTGTCTAAAGCTTGTCTTTGACCCCTAAAGCTTCTGTCAAAAATTTTGTTAGGCACCTAAAGCTTCTGTCTTTGCCTTGCTCATTAGATTAAAACATCATTTTACAAACATAGCATTTTGAAACATAAATATTAATCTCTAACCACGTTATTCAAACATCTACTCGGTACAAGCATTTTTCATGAATTGCCAACCAGTCTAAAAAGGAAAAGTTGATCGTTGATATTTGATGCATACAAAATTATATTGATAATAGTAAAACCATAATAATAACAAGAAATTATTGATTTGATCGCATCCGGTTTATCTGATTCAAAGCTGGCTGCAAAATATTGTAAGCCACCCAGAGGAGCGCCGGAGTCACCACTATCAGCAACAGAAGGCCCCTTTTGTCATCCGTACCGCCGGCCACTTCCGCCACTTCTCCGGCAGCAGCAAACACGGCGTCTGGCCCAATGAACTGGGCCGCCGTCAGCCCAAGCCCAAGCCCGACCATGACCCCCTTGCTGCTCCTCATCCGGTTCAGCTGGTTCAGTCCTGGCTGGAGGATGTTGAATAGCACCCACGCTAAGGCCGGGACGATGGGAAGCAAGAGGGCGAACACGCGGTTGTCGTCTCCTCCGGTGGCAGCTCCGGCTATATCCGCTATCTTCTGCGCCGCGAAAGCCGGATCGGCGGCGTCCATGGCGGAGAAGAAGGCCCCGGCAGCGGCGGTTCCGGCGAGGGAAGATGGATCGGCGGCTGAGAGGCGTTTAGGCTTATGGAGGAGGGTTCGGAGGGAGAGGAGTGAGATGGGTTTTAGATTTACATGGTGGTGGTTAGAGGATGATGAAGGTTTGGTCGCAGTGCTGATTCTGGCCTGGGCGCCGGCATTGAGCATGGAAGCTGTGGCTATGGTGGTGGCAGCCATTGTTGAACCAGCTAGGAATTGTGGGGAGGAAAGAGATGGGTGGGAACTGAGAATTATGAAGTGGGGGTTGATCAAAACTGGGATGAAGAGTGGGTGTGATCTTATCCAGATGGGGTGTGATGCAGTGATTTTCCACCTCATATTTGAGAAATCAGTTTCTTGAATAATTGAAAATGGATTATGGAGTGTTGCTTTTCAAAGTATCCGAATTTCCACCTCCTTATTAGGCCTTCTAAGTAATTTGGGCTAGATGTACAAAAAAGCCCATGGTTTGTTTATCAAAGGTCCTTGATCATCATATAACCTACCATGCACCTTAGGAGACCTTTTTTCCATAAAAATATGAAAAATACTTAAGGTACTGTCTTTCACAGGCAAGTTATCTGTCATAGATAACTTATTATAAATTGTATGTGACAGATAACTTGTATGTGAAGGACAGACATGTGTACACAAAATGTGTACACATTTTGTGTACCTCTAACAAAACTCACAAATACCCTACAAGACCCTTGATCAAAGGTCCGTGGAAAGTCATGCATTGTCTTTGAATCCCACAAAGCCCGTAGCAACACCTCGTACTTAGCAGAATGAGCGGATGAACACGCTAAAGTGTCGTTGGACAGTTGACACAACGACGAGTTTACTTTGAAAAACTTTTGAAAAAATAAACTTACTTTCATTTTCATTTTTGTTTTAAGGTGTGTTAGATGAGGACATGAGGTTATATATTTGACTTATTACTTTTCTGATTGAAAAGTGTTTGGATCTGATTCTTAAAACTGATTCTGCTCCTTCAGGGAGCAGAAACAGAAATTGGAGTGTTAGGTTGAAAGTGCAAAAGTGATTCTGATGCTCTAATTTACTCCTAGAATCATTTTTTTAGAAGTTGGGGGAATCAACTTCTGAAAACTGATTCTGATTCTGCTTCTGCTTTACAAAAGAAGCAAAAGCAGAATCAATTCCAAACAGCCTCTAGATGAAATACCATAATACCAAACATTTGATACGCCGCATATGCCTAGTTATATTTGAACGAAGTAATATTTAAAAATCTTTAAACACATTTTTTATGTTTACAAAACAATTTTAAAAGTTTCTTAAAAAATTTAAGATATTATTTGAAATACTGCACTGAATAGATTTTAAAATAAATTTATATTTTTTATATCATTAACTAGTCACAACATGATATACCAAATAGAAATAAACCAAACAATCAGTGTTTACAACAAACAACTAAATAGTACTAGTACAAATTAAAATATATTCGGTAGCTAAAAACTAACAATTATATATTAAAAAAGGTAAACACATTTTTTCATTTAGTTGTGCTAAACGTGTCATTAAAAACATTTAGACCAGTTTAAATATTATATACCTAATAAGAAAATTAGACTAGTTTCCTTTAATGCACATAATACATTTCAACGGTCCAGATCAATTCTCATTTCTCTCCTACATGTTTTTTCATTGTAAAATGGGTTTTTTACAAGGATATTACTAAAATAAAATATATTTACATAAATATGACTAATCATTACTATAATGTAGTGTTATGGTAACTTAAGCTCAAAACTTGAACATGAATTACTATGATTTCATTACTACTCTAGTTATTAATCATATTTTTGTAAATCATCTTTATTTTAGTCATATTTATGTAATTATTTCTGAATTGAATTCTATATATACAATGATTTTTGAAGTCGTAACTGTGTTTCCAAAGCTTATGTAATGTACCATTAATTTTACCTATTAAAATTGATTATATGATCGGACACAGTTTTTAGTAATAGGCTAATATAATTAGGAATCTACCTAATAGATATTTAGGAATATTCCTAATATCTATTTAGGAATACTTTGTATTTTGGCAACTCTTCTATTATAAATATATCAGTCAGGACTCCTATTGGAGTACCTCTTTCCCATTATTTCACATGGTATCAAGAGCTCTAGGTTTGTAGATACAATTTTTTTCTTTTTTCGGTTCCCATGAACCTTATTATAGCCGCCGCCTCGGGGTCGACTGCCGCCACATTTACGGTAGTCTCCGATCCTTTGAAGATGAGCGCGGCTAATATGGCGCAGATCACCTCCTTCGCGTCGCTGAACACGGTGCTTGCTTCTAGCGTGCCGTTGAGTTCGCCGCCTGCTGCTGCCTATGTCCGCGCAGCCCACCTTCTCTGCGTCGCTGACCACGGTGCTTGCTTCAAGCGCGCTGTTGAGTTCGCCGCTTGCTGCTGCAGACATATATTCTCATGGAGATCTTATTGTCAAAGATGTGCCTTCTAATCTTCCACTCACGGATATATTTACTAAGAGTTTTTTTTTAGTTTGCAATTTCATTTTTTTAAAAGACAACATGCGCGTTGTATCTCCCGCACAGTTTGAGGGGGTGTAATAGGCTAATATAATTAGGAATCTACCTAATAGATATTTAGGAATATTCCTAATATCTATTTAGGAATACTTTGTATTTTGGCAACTCTTCTATTATAAATATATATGTCAGGACTCCTATTGGAGTACCTCTTTCCCATTATTTCACATTTAGAACTAAAGGATCGTAACAGAAATTATATTTTCTGTATTTTTTAATTTCTACATAATCCAATGCATCAAGTATTTGGTCATAACAACAATGATCTCAACAAATTCAGTGCTCAATTCACGACGAATGTTTGTCCTTATCAATCAAACTTTAATGATGGTCATGTACCAATAGATGAAAATTGGAATTTTCAAGCTAGATGTTTCTGTTTTAATTGAAATTTTTAGGATATGTTTACTTTGATCTCAAATGGTGTGCGATGTGTAATTAATATTGGTCTGTTATGGTAACCATAGGGGTGGACCAACCTTGGCCCTGGCCCAGCCCAAATTTAAAAAATGTCTTTATTTTTAGTGTAAAAAATTCTGAGCATTTTTTTTTGAAAATATTCTTTGTATCGGCGCAGTCTGATCCAGTGTCCTGGCTGAATGGTAGCGATTGAATTGGTTTGATCTGGTACAAGCATTTCCAATGCAATAAGATTACGACCATGGTATATACTTCGTATGTGACATGTATGTGAGTAATAGATGCATAAATTTAATTAAATCAATAACTTTTTTCTTTCTTTCCAAAACCTACCAATTTTTTAGTTATTTTTATCTAGTTGTTGTACTTGACAATAATGGAGGAAACCGTTATTAAACATAGAAAAGAGATATTTTATTTATTAATTTTTATGTAACTATCTCTCTTTTATTACTTGGGTACATTTTAGATTTGTGCATTAGAGATGTTCAAAGGCAGATCTTATGTACTATGTATATGTTACTACGGAGTATATGATATGTTATGTTTTGTTTCAATTTCACTACAAAAAGAACAATGGATCAATAGAGATTGTTGTAGGAGTTCCATAAATTTATGAATGATTTGCAGATATGTCAAATTTGATCGACACGAGCTATTTGATACAAAATTATTGGTTAATCTATGTTGAATTTGTGCCAATCATGCATTTTTTTTTGTAGTGTTTACCCGAGCTAATGTTAATTCTATATTAGATTAGACGAAACTCAAGATAAAGTTTTTTTTTGGAGGAAACTCAAGATAAAGTTAAATCACCATATATATAATTAAAATTTCAAGATGAATTTCAATCAGTTTTAATTTTTAAAATTTTCATTTGAAAATTACATTGAAAGTTCTATATAAACGTAAAACCCAAATTCAAATATATAGAAAATGAATATATTAATAAGTAGATAAAATGAAATTGTGTTGATAAAAAATTATTTTAATTTGCAATTCATTTTGAAAATGGGAGGGAGTATAATACACATTAATTGTTAATTCACACATTGTAGTTTACTCATTCACATCATTTTGGACTTTCATGCAAATGATCTGTAATTCTTTCATATGTCGAGCACAATAATATTTAGGGATAATTTTAGTTTGCACCTCATATTATTATCCAAATTGGACTTTGCGCCCCATTTTGAA